GGGAAGAATGGAGGTAAAGGGGAGGAGGAAGGGGGAGAAGAAGAGGAACAAACTGGAGAAAGAAAACCTTTAGAAAGTTTGTCGGGAGAGAGAGTTCATGGGGTTCCTTATATATATATATATATATATATATATACCAGTTACCTCTGGAAGAGCTAGTGCTGCGGCTAGGCTGCTGGCTCCGGTAAACACTCCGATATCAAGAACCTTTTTTGCTCCTGGAATATTATTTATGGATTGATAAATTAGAAGAGGAACATCGATCATCCCCCTCCTCCTAGGATTTCCGGTCCTTATTATTTTTCATCACTGATACAACTATATTATGATTGTTAAAAATTATTGTTTGATTAAACGAATTCCTAAAATACTGCTCCCAAGTAATAAACAACTTAAAAACTCTTAAGTCTCACATAAATACAACAACTCAAAAACCTTCACTCTGTTTTAATTAGCACAAAAATACAACAACTCAAAACCCTTCACTCTGTTTTAATTAGCACAAAAATACTACAACTAAAAACTCTTTACTCTGCTTTAATTTGTACAAAAATACAACAACTAAAAACTCTTCACTCTGCTTTAATTTATACAAAAATACTACAACTAAAAACTCTTCACTCTGATTTAAATTTGTACAAAAATACTACAACTAAAAACCCTTCACTCTGCTTTAATTTGCACAAAAATACTACAACTAAAAACCCTTCACTCTGCTTTAATTTGCACAAAAATACTACAAAATACTACAACTAAAAACTCTTCACTCTGCATTAATTTGCACAAAAAGACTACAACTAAAAACCCTTCAGCTGTATCAATGGCTGTAATGTAAATATATATTTCTTACTCATTGATCTGATGAAGATTGCATTCAGGGAAATCACTTCTGGGGCTCCAAGCATTCTTCCCTATTATAATCAAACATATTTTAAAGGGATACTTCATTTTAAAGGGATAATAATAAAAGTAAACATATGATTTTAATGCAAGAACAAGAGCGATTTTACTCAAATAAAGTTGAAAATATTTTAAGAACAAAATTGTTCTCAAATATTAGTCTAATGAAATATTCCCTAAAAGACCAACTTATTTTTAGGAAATTAACTGGATTAGCCACAGTCTCTGTATAGCTAACGTTTCTATTCAGTGTTTAGAAGTTCCACTTGAATGCATGTTTCTAGATGTTTCAAATGAAACTATACCTGTTCCAGTTTTAGAGAATGTTTCAGAACATTTTTATACTAAACTTTATCTGTTTCAGTTTGTGTCTATTCCTAAAGTTTAATCTGAAAGTACCTTTTCCAGTTTCAGTATATGTTCCATATGTTTAAGCTGAACAGTTCCTGTTCCTGTATCTGTTCCTGATGTTTAAGCTGAGCCGTACCTGTTCCAGTTTATGTGTCTGTTTTTGATGTTTAAGCTGACCCGTACCTGTTCCAGTTTAAGTGTATGTTCTTGAAGTTCAAGCTAAACAGTTCCTGTTCTTGTATCTGTTCCTGATGTTTAAGCTGAGCCGTACATGTTCCAGTTTAAGTGTCTGTTCCTGAAGTTTAAGCTGAGTCGTACCTGTTCCAGTTTATGTGTCTGTTCCTGAAGTTTAAGCTGACCCGTACCTGTTCCAGTTTAAGTGTCTGTTCTTGAAGTTTTAGCTGAACTGGATGGAGTTTAGTAGAATGTTCCAGACAATAGGTTTTAACCGGATCAGATGCAGCATAACTCTTACTAAACAACAAATATTAAAGATTTTAATTGATAGATTTTAAAGCAAGGGCGTTAATAGAGGGGAGACAAGGGGGACAGTGCATCCACCTAGACCTGTGAAAGGAAGAGGGGGCGTCCCCCCCTAGAACTCAGAACTGAAGAGTGAAGANTGAACATATAATAAAATGTAGATTTTTGCAATCGGACCGTATGAGTACCTTTAAAGTATCTTATATATTAGGCCTGATATCCAAGAAGCCAAATGTTTACAATTTACATACAGTGGTAGGCGGTTATATCAATAGAATGAAAACGACTACTTATTTGAATTTTGATTGTTAACAAGCTTTTTTCGAATTACAATTGTTTATCATTTTGGTAAACGATTATAAAAATCTTTTCGATCAATGATTATTAAAAATCGTTCGATAAATGATTATTAAATTGTTTCGATTAACGATTATTAAAATCCGATTATAACCGATTATATTAAAACCATTTTGAAACTTTTATCATAATCCTTTTGATGAACAATTATCAAAATTGTTTTGATAAACGATTATATTAAAACCATTTTGAAACGATTATTAAAATCATTTTGATAAACGTTTATTAAAATCTTTTCGATCAACGATTATTAAAAATCGTTCGATAAATGATTATTAAATTGTTTCGATTGACAATAATTAAAATCGTTTTGATAACCGATTATTAAAAACGGTTTGATAAATGCTTATTCAAATTTATTGATAAACGATTATATTAAAAAACGTTTTGATAAATGATTATATTATAACCGTTTTGAAACAACTATGAAAAATCGTTTCGATAAGCGATTATTAAAATCGGTTTGATAAACGATTTTAAAATCGTTTGGATAAAGAATTATTAAAAATGGTTTGATCAGAGAACAAATTTTTACTATTGAAAAAAAAATTTATCAAGCATAAAATTCTACAAAAGGATAAACATCTCAGATTCTTATGAATCGCTTTTAAAGCCAAAATACCTTGAATGTTTAAAAATGGGCCTCAAAATGATGCCCATCCCTAGTCTTGAAGGGACTTTTCTGGTAATCTGGATATTTTATCGATTTTCCTTATACTGTTTTATCTTACTATTACAAAATGAACGCGTATGAAGTATTGTATGTACATTGTACATTGTATATCGTACAATGCCCTTCCTTGAAAACTTGATTTATTTAAACCTATCAGAGGAATGAGTGCGTTCAATTTATCCAAAATTAACCTTTTAAATTTGTTTCAATTTTAATATTTGAAGCAGATGTACATTTTAAAGTACCGGTTTATAAGAAATTGTGCAGAAAAACTAAAATTGGTAGAACAATTTAATGAAATTAAGAATGTGGATAGTGAATTCAATTTAACTAAATCTAAATGTCCCATATTTTACTCCACAGGGGTGTATCTCGATAAGTGGCGATTTTGACTGTTTTGTTCCCCTACAAAATGATAACAGTTTCAAGCTATCACGTGCCCACTGAATTTAGAAAGAAGGGAAAATGTTAATTTTCTGGGACGTTCCTGAAATGACTTTGTGATCTCGTAGCACCTTAAAAGATTTGATTTTAAGGAAAAGTGCGATAACAGAAAATTTATCCAGTTATATGTTAGATATTAACAACATTTTTCTTATTCTCAAAACCTCTTCAAGAAGAGGAGTTATGAATGAGAAATTAGAAGATTTCAATCTTACGTGCTGTTTACTTCAATTTGACGTGAGGGCGAATGTTAAAACTTTGTAATTTGAGCTGAAAACTTTAGAATGGTGGATATCGAAATTCATGCTTGATCCTCTCTTTTTCTTAATATCGAGACTAATCTAATCTTGTACTTGTAGCCTGAAAAGTGTATAATATTCAACCAATCAGAGTCGCGTATATAAAGCCAAAAAATTTGAAATTTTGCGCGCCATTTAAGATATATACAGAAACGGGAGGGACTCTCTAATTTAGAAAACCCTGGTTTTTATTTTTCTCTACTATATCAAAGAAAACGGCTTAAAAAGAAAATCAAAAGTGTGGCCATTGGATTGGATACTCAGATTAAGTAACTCGGATTAAGGATATCTCATTCTAAAGTTTTCAGTTTTGGTTGCCTATATTCAAATACTTTTCTGAAGTCGATAGGCAAACATTGTAATGTATATGTCCAAATTTTTACTTTGTTAAATATGGTTAAAGGTGTCCCAACAGTTAACAAAGGATGAGAATGCATGCAAGTAATATTTTACTTAAAAGGAGTATTCTTGAATTATGTGGTTTGGTCAAATTATACGGTGGTAGGCGATAGTAACAATATAATAAAGACGACTTTTTTATTTAAGTTTTAATTGTTAACAAGTTTTTTTCAAACAACAAGTCCACAAGTTCCGTGGCGACGTTTCAAATTCAATATCTTACTTAAGACGAATTTCATCCCGCCTTATACTAGATGGTTAATGTTTATGACTGAGTTTATATTTTGATCTCTCAGAGAATATAGAACATAGTTAAAAAATAACTGACTAACTACAATTAAAAATGTGGGGTTACGTGGCAAAATTCAAACAATGTTAAAACCCAAGAAAAACTTACAATCTGTTATTAAGTTAGCTATTTTAAAATTAAAACAATGGCCCCTTCAACTTAAACTTTAATAAATATCAGTCTTAAGATTATATACCACATAAACCGCTCACTGTCCTTTAATAGATTAATATAAGTATATTTAATATCTAAGTTTAAATCTTCATTTTGCTTTTGTTTAAAAATGAAACAAAATGAATCTCATATTTAAAGTAGTAATCACTGTTTGTTTGTCTGTATGTCCGATCATAACTTAACAAACCCTTGAATGATTTGCTCAAATTTTGACCAAGGAACTAGTTAGAACCAGGGGAATGTTTTTAGATTGGTTTATAATGTCTAAGTTGAGTGGGTTAAATATTTGAGAGAAATTTTAGACAAATCTGGGTTCCCGAGCTAATATTAGAGATAAAGCAAAAGATATTGTAATCTATAACGGTTATGGCTAATAAATCTTTGCAATTGTTTAGGGCTCATTTTTGAAGCAATAATAGTTAGCAAATAAAATTTCCTGTTGCGACGTTTATAATTTAAAAACTAAACGAAGACGACTTTTGTTATGCTTTTAACTGGCTATTTGACTAACGAACTGTACAGACTGTAAAGTATTTCAATATCTAACTTACTTGACAACAGCAAGCCCAGTCATTGTTAAATTAAGATAATTATCTGAAAAAACATTCATGGATGTCCTTTGTTGAATGACAAACTGTAAAGATATCAGAAATAATGCAAATTTGAACACATGTAATCATCTGTTCTTTACAGTGCACACTCCACATGATTTCTTAGAATATAAATCAAATATAAATAAATTTTATAACGCCAGACACCGGACATTGTCATATATCAGGATACAAGATATTAATATAATATACGAGATAAGATATGAAAGCTATTCTCCTTTTTGAAAACACAGAATATACGAACTTTTACAGTTTTGGGAGAAAGAAAAAAAATATTTCTGAAAGTAAATATCAAAATAATTTTAGAATAGAAAACTTCAACAGTTAAAAATTCATGAGGATTCTGGACTTGAACCGGCAGTATGTAGTTCAACGATATCTCCAATTCATAAAATTTCGTCCCCGGGATTCTGGACTTGAACCGGCAGTAGGTAGTTCAACGATCTCTCCAATTCATTGAATTCAGTCCCCGGGATTCTGGACTTGAACCGGCAGTGGGTTGTTCAACGACCTCTCCAATTCATTAAGATAAGGAAAACCTATGCCAAACTCTAATATTTACATGTTTTGTTATATGAGACACTTAAATTATAGATTTTATATTTTACTAATAGATGATAACAAGGTTTTAAACTAACATATTTCTATAAAGATGGCGCTGTATGAGCTGTATCCCTGGTATTCTTTTGCAACATAAACCTACAAATATATATTCTTTAGTTATCTAAAGATTCAAAACAGTACAATTAAAACTTCGGATAAAATTGTAGAGGATAACGTCGTTTTTCTATATTTTAAAGTTGTTTAATTTTGATAATTTATCCGTTGTTTATAAAGCAAAAAAATGGGTCAGTCACTTTTGTAGAAAACCCACAAATGAAAAAAGTATTCAAAATCAAACACGGATATCTAACGCGTTGTCAATCGGACATGTCACTCTATCAATGGAGGTTTCCTTAAATATTATGCACGTTCATAGAACCAATTAAATCGAGAATAAAACAAATCAAATGAAGGCATAAACTCCATATACATTAATTTCATTATGAAAATGATAAATATTCCTTGAAAGTTAATCAAATATTCAATTCATATTTTGTCCATTTTTTCATTTGTTTATTAAATTCCTAGTTTATCCTGCTTTTCCGAATTTTACAAAAAGATTTTTAAAAGAGTTTAAGAAGATTATTTAAAGTTAATCTGAAATTACCTGGTTGATGGATTGGTTCGAATTCTGTGAAGGGAACATTTATCACATGTACAGACCTCCTTGTAATCATTCTCTCCTATAATATCCACATGTACAGACCTCCTTATAATCATTCTCTCCTATAATATCCACATGTACAGACCTCCTTATAATCATTCTCTCCTATAATATCCACATGTACAGACCTCCTTATAATATAATCATTCTCTCCTATAATATCCTCATGTACAGACCTCCTTATAATCATTCTCTCCTATAATATCCACATGTACAAACCTCCTTATAATCATTCTCTATAATATTCACATGTACAGACCTCCTTATAATCATTCTCTCCTATAATATCCAAAGTAGAAAATATTCAGAGACTTGGGCATATTTATTTGAGGATATCTACTTGATATAAAGCAATATTTATCAATACTTATTTTGACTTTAACTCTTGGTACGCGCACTCGCATCACCACTTGTAAATTCCTATATCCTGCTTACTTTTGTTAACAACAATGGAGAGAGTTTGGTGATATTAATAAAATTCACGACGCTCCACGCCCCCGCTTAACAACTCCTCTCTTCAAATCGGAGCAAGTGGCCCCATCTATCTATCGAAAAGTGTTTGAAACATTTGCTTCAGTTTTTATCTCAAAAGCAATGGAAATAATGAATTTTATCCTGAAAAGTATCGGATAACAAAATCTTGTAAACCACATCATAGTTTTCAAAAACGTGGAAACATCACGTACTCGATAGAACGGTAGAACCTTGGTTGTATCGAATTACCTTCACAAAGTTAATCGATAATAGAAGAGAATACTTATATTAATTGGTTCAATTCTCATACCAATTCTGTCTAAATATTTATAATGTACTTGTAATAAGATACGATATTTAACTAAACAAAAACCTACACAGAAAATTAGACGCCTTCGCAGGGTAAAAATATAACCATTGTTTTTTTTTACAACAGTCAAGTCTAGATCAACTAAGGCGTTGAGAAAATCGAATATTTCAGCAAATGTAGACGTGAACCCAAACAATTATTGAATTCATCTTTAAAGGTCTTTCAACGCAACCTTAAGTGTTGCTTAACTAGAGAAACTTCCGAATTTACGACTTATGCATTATACAGCAAAGACGAGCAGGGAAATGGCTGAGGTAATTTAAATTTTAGATAGAAAAATAAGAAAAATATTATCAGCGCCATCAGATAAAATGTGCAAGGATGTTGTTGTGATTCATTGAAATCCCTTAAATATTTATCCATGGGTATATAATTTCCCTAGGTTCCCTACACATTGATACTCGTAACCCTAAAATTTCATCATTTACCTCTAAATCATTTTTTAACCATTCAGCGAATAAAAGCATTAAACAAATTCTTTTGGGGGGAAAAATGATTTTCAAGTGGAGAGGGGATTTTTCAAGAAAAAATACACCCTGTATTTACCGATAAATAGTGCTGGAAATATAGTTCCGAAGAAAATACCAAGCATCAAACCAAGGAAAGCTTTTCTCAGCATTGTTCTCTCCTTTTCCCTCCGTTGCCGAAGAATTTCTTCCTCAACCTGAATTCAATAGTTTTTATTTAAATAAAAAATAAAACGATGTTAATTTCTGTGAACCTCAGGCTTTAATAACTTATTATCATTATTTATTATAATTATTATTAGCAGACAACTTATCATTTAATTTTGTGCATTTCTACCAATTGATTTATTCCTCTTCGATCTAGGGGTGGTCATACTCTACAAGGATGTAAAAATGTTTACATTGGATATCGAGATTAATAAAACTACCCATAAAAAAGTTCCGACCTCTTATCAGAGTAATCATGTGTCTAAGGCATTGTTAAGAAATCCAGGACACATGGTGTCACGTGGCCACCAATTAAAAATAATTTTTGCTTTCTCAGATCAAGTTTCCCAAATTCAAATAAATGGTAGAAAAAAATTTTCTCTAAAAATATGAGTTTGCTTTTAAGTTTTATTTTATTTTATTTTATTTTATTGAGTTAATTTCAAATATTTTCTCCTAAAACCACCTCTAATTAATATTCATTAATCACTTTTTCTTACGAAATTTATTTAATTTATTTTATAGCTGTGCAGTGTGCAGGTTTCGTCTTTAAACAGACGTTTTACAGATCTTCGATGATAATTTCTTGACATCTATATATAAATTTGGCTTGTATGTTTGTTTGTTCGTGTCCAATTAACGTCAAAACGGCTGAACCGATCGGGCCAAAATTTTTTGTGGGACATCACGTGACCACAGGGAAGGTTTATGAATGATAAAAATTTTAAAAAATGTGTTTTAAAGGGTTTTAATTTTCTAAAAAAAATAAATTCTTGAAAATCCGCAAACATTTTTTCTTCTTTGTTTTAAAATGTAAACAAAAAGAACATGTTCACAATTTAAATAGAAGATGGGCGCGAAGCACCCTAAAAGCCTAGTAAAGATAAAATTACCTTTATTTCTTTAGTACTTTTTGTTCTTTTCCGAATATCCCAGTACTCCTGACGTCTAGGGTCATTCCTTTAACAAACACAAAATCTGCTAATTATTTAAAAGGTCAGAATTTATTTTAAAAGAGTGATCCGATATTTGTTTTTTCATATTAAATATATTTGATAGTTTAATAAATAACCCGCCACCCCCTCCTTCTTAAAAATATTATTTTCTCCAATATATAAATACTATTTGCGTATTTTGGAGGCTTTTTCTTTCCGGCAATATGGGGGGGGGGGATCATTTTTGAATTAAAGCATAAAAAAGGGGTGGGAGAGTTTTCATCCCTCCTGGTTTTTAGTGCTATATTTATTAGGTAAGACTAAGTTTTCAATTCGACGATTACCTGGGATCTGTAACATTAAAGCTGTCTGTACCAAATTTAGACTCGTACACTAATCTCTTGTAAGCATTTGTCAAATCAATAAAGTCTGTTTCTTCATCTGAACAAAATAAACTTGATAAGAACAACATAGAAATCAAAAAACAAATACTCAACTATTTGAATTCCATGCTTTGGAAAAAGTTTCCAGTACTAAACCTAAAATTTAACAAAATTGTCCTACACTGCACTCTAATGTTTTCAGAACTAAACGCTAGAAGTTCTTAAAAGTTTAATTGGTTTAATTGGTTTAATTGGTGTGTTTATGTTTATATATTACGGGTGTGATAATTTAAAACATTTCTTTTCCGACTTCATTGGCTGTTCAGGAATTCAGCCAGTTATCAAGCTTGTTTTTGAAAATGTTCAGGTGTCCAGCACTTTTGATTTCATATGGAATATCATTCCACATATTGATAACTCTTTCTCTAAAAAGTTTCTTCGTATTTCGGTGTGCACAACACAGGTAACTTCAGATTCAAAGGATCACTGGACATTATGGTTTGTTTTTCATTTTCACCAGGTAAATAGGCTGAGCTAAACCACTTGTTTTATCCACATGATCATGTTCATGAAGGATTTTCCAGACTTGAATCATATCTCCCCTCTTCCTTCTTTACTCCAGACTAGTGAGTCCAACCTCTCTCAGTTTCTCTTCATAGGTAGATCCTGAGAGTCCAGAAGTCATGAAAATAGCCCTTTTCTGTACTTTTTCTAGAATTTCTTTATCTTTAATATATAAAACTTCAAAGGGTTCCTATTTTGAACTTCAGAATTCTGCTGAACTAAATGTTCAAAGTTTTTTAAAGCTAATATCATTTGCAAAGAAAAAGGAATGACCATTTGAGGTGAGTAATTAAGTACAGTCCAAAATATAATTTCAAAAAGTTCCCTGAATAACTTTTTAGAAGGTTCATACAACTCTCAAAGTTCCCTGTTTTGTACTAAAGGTTTTATAGAGAACTTGAAGATTTTTTACGGTTATTTCTTGACAGTTTTCTGTTATAGGATTGTAATACAGGAAAAGTTCAAATGATTTAAAATAACTTACTTAAGTTATCTGTTCTGGAGTCTGGGTGCAACTCCTTCGCTTTTTTAAAATATGCACTGGAAAATAAATATTGATTACAGGATGGAACATAAGGGTCTTTGTTGCTTTTAACTAAAGCTCTCTTTCTTACTCTACCAGGGATCGAATTTAATGAATTGCGATAAGTCGTTGAACTACGTAGAACTTAGAAGCGGTTCAACTTCAACCACTTATTTGAACTTTGAACGGTGATTCAGGATTTGATCCTTAAAACACTGGAGAAAAAGTGGAACCTGTAGTGGGTAGCTCAATAGCTTCTTTCCCTATTTCATCAAGGATATGAAACCATACCATGCAAAGATAGCACTGCCCGAATTACAACGGTACCCATGAAACCTTGATCTGATCAAAACTGTTGAACTGTGTCTTTTACGAAGTGTTTATAATTGTTTCTTATAAGCAATAAATGGGTAAGTCATGTTTGCGGAGTAGCCACAATTGAAAATGAACAGTTTAAATAAACAAAAGCATAAGTATCTAATGCATACTTGATCAGACAAAGCTTTAAAGAGTATCGTTGAAAAAAGGGCATTGCTAGAAATGATGTATATATGTAAATTTGGTCAAGGAATTTTAATCATAATTCTTTTTTTCAGGCGCGCAACTATACATTTGGTTAGAGGGGGGCTATGGGGAAATATTTTAATAATTAATTTTCAATACAAATTACATATATATATATATAAATTTTCATTTGTTATCCATAAATCAAATATGTACATTGTACTCAAAAACTGACAAGAAATGCCTTTTATAAAAAATTCATGATTTTACATGAAAAATATTTTTTTTTAATATGACACATCACACAATATTTGCGGTAAACATGTAGGATTAATTGAATAATTGTACTACAGTATTAAAGCAATATAATAATAAGTGGCAGAACTGAGTGAAAATATCTAAAAAATACTTGATAAACCCCCTTTCCCAGGAAAAAACAGCATAATGAAAAAACAAAGATTAAGGCACATTGGAACCTTGTCAAACTGTTCTGATCTACGGCAGTAGTTAGGCTCGGAGACTAAGGGGGTCTGTATGTGTGTATATGGCGTATTAAGTGCTGTATGGATTGAACTATAAGCTCAATAAATTAACGTTCAATCATCTTTTTTATTTTACGATAAGAGCTCTTAAATTTCCTCAGGGTCTGGATTCATGAATCACTAAATTGCAAAACAGGGTGGACTTCGTCATTTCTTGCCCCCCCCCCCCTTACGGGGGGGTAAGACTTCTTAAGGGAGGGGCATGCCCCCCCCTTAATCAGGCTAGGGGAGGCCTGCCCCCCCCCCTAGTTGCGCGCCTGTTTTTTTTTCTATAAAATATACAGTATTTATTTTTATTCCGTCGAAGTTCTATTTGTTTACAACAATTCATAGCGATTTTCTGTCCCACTTAATTTCTTATCCCCCCATGAAATTTCATTCAGGAAATTTGATCGTATTTGACCACGACAAGGTGGGGTGGGAGGGGGAGTGTTACAAAATTTAGGAGTTTATATGTTTATATAAAAACTCTTAATTTTGAGTGATAAAATGGCGCCGCAAGGAAATTTATATTGAAAATCATAATTAATGGGCTAGAAGATGCCTGTTTGCTCCACTTGCGCCCCTCCTCCCCCTATTTAAGCCGCCTCTGTTCATATAGTAAATTATGAGGTGGTACCCTCTTTTCTACAGATCTATGAACTTATTCAATTAAAGAAAAGTTTATTTATGTTTACAATTTGTTGGATTGAAATTTGATACAAAACTTATTCTCTGAATCATAAATAATCGTATTGGACGTAATCAATTATTTCCTTTTGATTTCTTCTATTGAAGAGTTTTCTGGTATTCCTAGCTTAGTATAGTCTTCCTTGTACATGTACAGGAGAGATGTATGTACACAGCGCGTACATAAAACACAATGTAAGCATCTCACAGAATATATTCCAGAACCTAAATTAAATAATCAAGTTCTAAAATGGGAAGACATTCAATAAAAATTCTAGTAAATGAGCATTCAGTGTGAAAAACTTGATCATTTGGGTTTCTAAGAAAAAAAATGTTAACAAACGTTTTTGTAAATTTTCCAACTTTAATCGTCCAAAAATCGTATACTAGGAAATTACCAACACATTTTTTTTATATTTTTATCATTCATAAACCTTCCCTGTGGTCGCGTGATGTCCCCTCATATTATTGAAGCTATACCATACTATATCTGATATAAATCTATGTATGTAGAATGTGTAAATTAAATAAATTACATTAACCTAACAACTTCCTGGCAGGCCAACAACCCACTGCCATCTTTTTTCTCTCAGTGCTTAAGCATATTTTCTGAAATATTTCGGCAAATTAGACAAATATGACACGAGAAGAGGCTTAAATAGAGGAGGTAGGGGGCTAATAGGGCTGACCTCCCCCCTTTCTAAGATAAGTGGAAATTATTGCGGTATGTCCTTTCAAATTAATAAAATCAGCAGGCCTAGGGGGAATACTAGGACAGACCCCTCGAGCCGAAGCTTTTAAATCGCGGGCTCTGACTTGAGGTAAGATATTAATTTATAAATCTAAATCAAATTAATAAAATCAGCAGGCCTAGGGGGAATAGTATTTTTCTACGAGGGTTTTAAAGGATATTTTGAAGAATTTTTAAATTAAAGTTTGCCTCTAGAGACATCTAGGACTTCTGGATGCCTTTCTAGCACCTCGTCCTCAAATTCAAGTATGACATTTTCATTTATGTTTCAGAAAATTCGTCTGTTTTTCTGTTTTTATAATACTGAAGAAAAGAACGCGGCAACAAATAAGAATTTTTATACTTTCATATTCTACGCAAAAAGAAGAAAATAAATTATTTCTTGTTTTTTCTCATTTTCCATATCTATAGTTACTTTCTCATCATGCAAAGAGATACTTAGATTTACATTTTTAAAGATAATTTAATATTTGACGTTTTTATAAAACACTTTTGTTTCAAATATAAAGGGAAAACGAATAATCCAGTCTGATTCAGTTGCGTAGAAACTATATTTTTAAACTGAAGAAGTTTCAAATGGGTTCAAAGTGTACGCTTCACCGTAAGTACACAACCTTTGAACCTGTCTGTCTGTGACCTGACCTGTTGCAGGTTGCTATCGGGCGTTGATAAATTCAACTTGTGGCGCTCGTTTCGTTGCTCAAAATTTTATGACCCGAGTCGATTTCAATTGATATAATAAGCTTGTGAGTGATTCTGTTACAAGGGCGTTGTTAAATTGTTAAAATTCCATGTAAATCCACCACATGATGAATGTTAATCGAGATGCTGAAATTGTTAATTAAAGACATCTTTTGCGACCGAGATAAGTAGTTAAATTACTTAACAATGCAGTCTAGAGAGCCGAGCGCCGTGGCTAGGACAGGCAAGTGGGCCGGGCGCTTTGACCATTGCACATGTCCAACTTTGACCGTGTGTTTTATGAACTCCATATAGCATAATTAATTGAAGGTGGTGTGTCTAAAAAAATATTCTCGAGGAAAATATCGACCTATTTTATAAAACATTCTTGCAATTACTCCGCTAATGGGTTTTAAAGTTAATTCCATTCCCTTATGTGTTATTGCAATCTCAGATATTTTATTAAATAAGATTATTTTTTTGGGTCCGTCCTAGTATACGATTTTTGGAACCCCCGCCCCTCCTATTAGTTTTGTACATGACCTAGATTTCAACTATTTTAAACAAAAAAATATTTATTTCGTATTATTTCAGGGTTAGGATAGACTAGGACAAATTCTGGGCCGAGCGCTGCAGCTAGGACAGGCTACCGGACGTTGGGGCCAGGACAGACCTTCAATTTCAACTATTTTCAACTAAATTAGTATATATTTAAGGTTAGGTTCGGTTAAGCCACTCTCTGGGCCGAGCGCTGTGGCTAGGACAGGCTAGGGGGCCTAACTCTGCGGCTAGGACAGGCTAGGGGAACCGGGCGCTGTAGCCACATGACCAACTTAATCCTTGTGTTGAACATGAGATGCATGTACAAAATTGGAAGGAGAAGGAGGGGGGTTAAAAATCGTATACTAGGAAATCACCAATTTTTTACTAGAGCGTAAAAAATCGATTTCTATGAAATTATTAAATAAAAGAACTTCAGGGTACATGACAGCACCAAATGGGGTATTTTATTGCAAAATCATTACCCTCCTTGCCCCTCTCTGAACTATAATATATATAGATATGGTTACAGTTTTTATAAGGGTTCATCGTCCAATCGGGGAAATGATGGAACTTTGGAGTCAATTGTATATATATAAAACATATAGCCCAGGGCCACAAGAAAAAATCTGTAAAATGGAAAATTCATGCACAGTTATTAAGTTTTATTTAAAGATTTGAAATAGTAATGTGATAAGAAACGAATTTTATTATTTAAATCATATATGTGTTAGCTTGAAAACTTATCCATATAGCTCTCGTTCATATATATTTGTTTGTATGTCATCTATAGTCGTCCAAACGGCTGGACCAAATGGTCTGACATTTCTCGAGGGAACCGTTAAGTACTCCAGGGGAAACAAAGGCTAAAAAATTAAAATTTTTTTTCAAATAGAAATTTTGTTCATACAAAAATCAATTTTTTTCCTTAATTGGATTTTAAAAATTCCACGGGCAACACCGGGCACTTTAGCTAGTTAACTATAATTTAATTTCATTATATTCAATACAGGGGTGAATATTTTATTGACCCCCCCCCCCTCTCCCCATTTATTTTAAAAATGTTTTTACCCTCAAAAAGATGTATTTGCGCGGAGCAAAAAATTCTGTTGAGGGTTTTATTTGTTGAATTGGGAAAATAAATATTCTTTGGGATAAACAAATGAATTTTTTAGTATCTTGAAGGTTGTAAAAACTTGTCTGATGGCCAATTTTTCATTATTTTCCCCAGAGGACAAAATATTATTTTCCTCCTCAAAATTCTTGTATGTATAAACTTCTGAAACTTAAAACAAATCATTTGATTCAAAACTTGTCAATTAAATTTGCTTTGATAAGATATTTTTGTTTATTTTAGTAAAAATGTCTCAGATTATCTACACCTACACCGATGAAGCACCAATGCTTGCAACCTACTCTCTTCTCCCAATATTCCAGAGGTTTTCAAAACCAATGGGAATAGAGGTAATTAACAATTAGTCCTATATTGATCAAAATTATGTCAAGATAATTAAGAAATTGTAAACGTAATTATAAGTGGACCTCCATTTAAAAAATGCCATCAACTGATTATCGGCCTTTAAGCCTCTCATTTCTTTGTCTAAAAATTGATAACTTGTGAATTTCTTTGCCTACGACGAGCGCTTTAAAGGAGTAACAGCGATATCTCCAAAATATGAATTGTTAATCTCAATAATTGAATAATCACTTGCTATTACTTAAATAATTCCTTTCAAAACATATTTTCAGATTCTGAGGAAAGATATATCTTTGGCTGGGCGTATTCTAGGAAACTAATAATCATATGAATTAAAAAAAGAAATAACGGACCAGGATGCTCCAATTATTCCTCTGAGTTGAATATTGCAACTTTCTGAATTTGTATGAACGCTACATTCTTTAGTATAAGTCGTTTTTAACAATTTTCTCCTTATAGACGCAACCGATAGAAGTAAGATTAGTAGCGATCAAAAGTGATTATTTTTCGCTGTAAGCATATACCTCCTTTCACTTTTCGCAATCACTCCCTTTAAAATGTAAAAAAATGAAGAATTTCTCCCAACTAATCTAATCTGAAACTCCTGCTACTCATGTTCAAACTAGTTTAGGAACCCAGATTTGCCTGGAAGCTATAGTGTCCCTATGAAAGTGTCGATGACATTTTTTAACAAAGGTTCTATCGAGTTCCCTTAATCCAAAATTGTGGCAAATCAGTCTGTTTCTAATTTATGATCGGACTTCCAAACCAAACAAACAAACAGACAAAAATACACTTAGACAAACAAAGATAACTATTCAGAAAATATGGATAGAAAGTGCTATAACTCGGAAATCTGAATTTTAACCATTTGGGGTATTCAGGGTCAGTATATAGTGGATTTCTGAGTTAATTCGCGTGAGCAGTGAGTGAATCATAATACAGGGTTACCCATAATAGATGAGACTATAAAGACGACTTGAAACTCTTAAAATACAACGATCCCAAGGTTGAATAAAGTCTTCTGTCTCAACCATATTCTTTAAATTGATTTTTTCAAGATTTGCCGGAGAAAGTATCAAGTTTAGAGGTGTAGGGAACCATGTATGTGAGGAAACAGACAGTATTTTTTTCGTACAATCGTCTCTGAAGTCTCATCTTTTGGTCACTCTAATAGAGAAATAAATCTTGAAATATGTAAAGCCTACTCTACGAAGATGAAGATTCTGGAAATTAATCATGAATACTAATTTTGGTTATATTTATCTATTTTTATCTGGAAGTAATTTTAAATTACAAATATATAATTATTTGTATGTTTGCAGCTAACTTTCCTGACTTCCTTTCTGAGGAGCAAAGGTAGTATTTCAGGCTGATACATATTTTCCTTTAACATTACCCCCTGTGTGTTTTTTTTGTAAAAAATGTTCTTTTTTGTCAATTTAAAAAAGAAAAGTAAGTTATCAACGATAGATTTATTAAATATAAATTCAGTATGACATCTCTTCCTTATTTTCCTGAAACTTATTATAATATTAGAAGTTAATCAACACCTCTTTACAAGATTTAATCTAATAATTAATTAAAAGTTATCTTCTTTAAAATGAAACACAGTTGTCACTCCTTTAAAGATTAAGTAGTCCAGCCCCAGAACTAAAACGCATCACAATCAAATTGTTTTTAAAATAGTAATTTTGTGTGTATATTTTTGATCTTGATCAATTTATACACTATACTATGTGGGCACTTTTAAATTTAAGGATCAATGCTTGATCCCTTTATTTAACTTATTCCTGCAGAGTATGACCAAAATGGAATATTGAATAGGAATTAGATTAATCCGTAGACTTTCCTTAAAGCTTCAAAAATCATTCTTGAATTCTTAAAAAATATATACTCCTGTACAGTGCGTAAGCATATGCAGTTATCATGTTCCTTGTGCCAACATGAGGAATATTTAGGCGCTATTTTGTCTAATTAGAATGTATGAGATATCCATCAATTTCATTGTTATTTTCAAGTGTGGTTTCTGTGAAAAAGATTTAGGCATTTTCTGGTTCGGAAACAATAGAGGAAATTGTGCAAATTCAAACTTATCAAGCTAGAACATCGATTATACCTTCCCATTATTTATCATATAAACGGTCATAGAGTATAGTTTGATTTAGGTAATGGTATGCAACTCTTAAATTGGAGGCTTACTTGAAATTACGCAGATCTGCAGTTCCTTGTGTCTACAACCCCGACAAATATTTGGTCATCTAAACTTGTAGATATTATAGTCCTGGTTTAATACCATCCTTGATATCCAGGCAGTCTGATGACCTGGCCTGGTTTAATACCATCCTTGATATCTAGGCAGTCTAATGACCTTGCCTGGTTTAATACCATCCTTGATATCTAGGCAGTCTGATGACCTGGCCTGGTTGGGAGAGCTGGCTAAAACTCCTGAGGGTAATATTATCAAGCTTCCAAACATAAGTGCTTCAGTTCCCCAGGTATTAAATATTTACCAATTTTATGTAAATATATTAATGCAAAAAAGAACAGTATTTTGTGGTACAGGGAAAAACTTAAAATAATAAATTAAAACTTCTTCAGAAATCGTTTGAAAAATGTTATTTAGAAACCTTTTAAAACGTGGCAAAATGGGATTTTTCGATTTAAACAAATTGTTAAATCAAAATTTCATAAATTATAAACAAAAAATAAGCTGTCAATATATTTTTTTATATTTTAATGATTTGGAGATAATTTTGGGAGTGCGATTTAAAGTTTTCAGATTGCCAAACTTTGTGCCTTTTTATGCGTTAAGTTAATTGATATTTTCCGAAGAATGTATTTTATCATCTTACCGATTCCTAGATCAGAGGCGTAACAGCCATTCTAAAAGTAGTAAATACTTTTTACCGCTGAAAATTCTACGTGTGTCATCGGTAATTAAACTTGATTATTTTTTATCAACATTCAGGATTTTTTTTGTCAACATTCATGGTTTATTTTTTATCAACATTCATGGTTTATTTTTGATCAACATTCAGGGTTTATTTGTTATCAACAATCAGGGTTTTTTTTTTTTATCAACATTCAGGAATTATTTTTATCAACATTCAGGGTTTATTTTTTATCAACATTCAGGGTTTATTTTTTATCAACATTCATGGTTTCAGGATTTTTTTTGTCAACATTCAGGGTTTATTTTTTATCAACATTCAGGGTTTATTTTTTATCAACAATCAGGGTTTATTTTTTTTATCAACATTCAGGATTTATTTGTTATCAACAATCAGGGTTTATTTTTTATCAACATTCAGGGTTTATTTGTTATCAACAATCAGGGTTTATTTTTTATCAACATTCAGGGTTTATTCTTTATCAACATTAAGGGTTTTTCATGAAAATAAGAAAAATTACACCGAAGCAACTCGAAAACTCGTTAAGATATGAATCAAACTCTAGAAAAATCGAAAAGAGATAATATAATCCGATGCTTCTGAAAAAAATTATCTTAAATTTTTTTTTAATGAGTTAGGAAATCTCATTTGATTTCGAGTAAATAGTAAACCGAAACTGGCCTTTTTTCCTTTCATATTAAACAGATTTTGAATATAAATTTCCCAAAGGAACTGAGATTTTGCAACAAACTCAAATTTTCTAATCCCTACATCTTTGTAGTTGTAAACCTTTGATATTTCAACTTAGATTATTTGATCTATCAGAATTCATAGTTGGAAATATCAAAGGTCTACGATATTGGGTCGGAAAGATAAAAAAATTAGAAAATTTTAGTTCCTTTAACTTGATATATAAGGCAATACTTTCGCGAATTGGAATAAAAAGACGATTTTTCCTAAAAAAATGCCATGGAATATTTTTATTTGGGGGAATGTTCAACCTTTTTCTCTAAACTTACATTCAAAGTGATTGAAATGTATCGGAACGTATCCTCTTCATATAAATATCCCAGGAAAAGTGATGATTGAAATGTATCGGAATGTATCCTCTTTATATAAATATCCCAGGAAAAGTGATTATCGGAATGTATCCTCTTTATATAGATATCCCAGGAAACGTGATGATTGAAATGTATCGGAATGTATCCTCTTTATATAAATATCCCAGGAAACATGATGATTGAAATGTATCGGAATGTATCCTCTTTATATAAATATCCCAGGAAAAGTGATGATTGAAATGTATCGGAATGTATCCTCTTTATATAAATATCCCAGGAAAAGTGATGATTTAAATGTATGGGAACGTATCCTCTTTATATAAATATCCCAGGAAAAGTGACTGAAATGTATCGGAACGTATCCTCTTTATATAAATATCCCAGGAAAAACGATTGAAATGTATCGGAATGTATCCTCTTTATATAAATATCCCAGGAAAAGTGATTGAAATGTATCGGATATAAATATCCCAGGAAAAGTGATTGAAATGTATCAGAATGTATCCTCTTTACATAAATATCCCAGGAAAAGCATGCAAGGGCAAAACCTTTGATATTGTTCTTTATATAAAACTAAAATATATTTTGGCGATAATTGGTTGTAATGAACTTACTACAATTACATTGGAGACAAATAAATAAAGGAAAGAGCGAAATCGATATTCTTTTCGAATACCGGTTTTTTTTTCTTTTAAACTTGATTAACTATTGTTAGTAGTGATTAATGATTATTATTATTATTAGCTGATTGAAGCTATTGCTGAGCTCCAAGGGAAGGGATATAAAGTTCCAAACTTTATTCAAAACCCAACCACGCAGCAGGAACAGGAGATTAAGTAAGATTTTAGAACGACCTTCACTTTCATACGCAGTACGCACCCCATAGCCCCCCGGGCCCTTTGTATAAAATATATTTTATTTAGATTTCGTAGAATAAAAACTAATTAGATAAATTTGTTGTGGGTGGATACGTGAAACTCAATTTATTCCAACTAGGTTAAATGGTTGTATCACAGTTAGACAGCAGAGGGTGGGAGGATGGTAACATTGGTTTTTACACTGAAATGAGGATCTCCCATTAAATTGACATATTTATAGCAATTTTAACTCTAAATCAATATTTTTCCTTTATGGCTATCATTATCTATTATCTATCTATATCAGTATATAAATTGTTAAGTAAGAGATATGGCGCCGTGTTGGGAAGTGCTGTGAACCCTGTGCTTAGGGAGGGGAACTCTGATAGAAGATGTGCACCACCAGTTAAAGAACAGGTGATCTTTAGACGCTTAAAAGAATGGGGAAGGGGGGGGGTTTAATAGAATTAATTTCTTCTGGGGTATCGTTGTGGTTGGAACCCATGGCACGGATAACTAAAATTTAGGAATAAAACGCATTATTCCTGAAATTTTTAAGGTCCAATAGTTGATATCGATATGAAACGTCGTAAATTAGAATTCACTTCTCGTGGAGTGGTTTCTCTCATAATTCCTGTTTTTTGATCATTTAACTTTTCTTCATTTTTTTCATACCTAAATATTTCTAAATAATTTGCTCTCTCACGCTAAAAGAATTTAGTATTTCATTTATGATTTATGTTTTGTAAATATACAAAATAACTATGACTATTTACCAAGCTACAGAGGAGGATCAAGTTTAACAGGTGTACTATATCATGCTATGTATTTGTTAAATCATATTTTCTTACTTTTTCACAATTTTAGAAGTAAAATAATACTATTTCAGGCCAAGAGGCAAACAAAGAGAAGTCCTGGCATGAAGCCTTGGTCTAAGGTGCGATAAGTATTTTTAAAATATTGAGAATATATTTCATAATCAATCTTATAATTAATAACTAAATAGAAGATCCATTATATTTTGAAATTATTTGTTCTGGATATTTTAGGTTTTTACTTAACAATATATCACGGCATCAAAACTTAACAAACACTTTAACGGTATCATTTAGAAGAAGACATTCTTTTTATGAAAGGCATATGCCATGCTATATGACCTACTGTGCTGTAAACTTCCGATATAAACTACGGATAAGATTTGCGGTAAAACATGGTGCTCATTTTAAGTAAATTTTTGGTAGTTCTAATGACAGTTGACCAAATTTACAACTACTAAATGTTAAAATGTCGTCGTCTTATTTCTGCCACTCCGCTTAGTCTGGTGCTCGTAGAGTCTGGACTCCGTATATTATCTTTAAATTTCCAAGTCTTAAATTAATGAACTATGAAATTATGAAAAAAATAGAAATAGATAATAATTTAGAAATATCTTTAAGACCAACAAGACTCATGTTGCCCATATGACGGAAGGGGATTTCTATGGGTCGGAGCAATCTCATATCATGAGCTCTCCTGGATCATTGAAAGTCGTCTTTAAACCAGGTGATCATAATACTGGAAGTTTGAACTCTATTAAACAGTGCTTAGGATCCGAATCCGCAAAAATGTGCGGACCCACGGATCTAGACCCAATGGGCAAAATATCTATCAAAAACTGCAAAAAAAAATTCTTTTACTCACAAAACCAAAATCTGAAAAGAGATAATCATGACCTGGATCCGGATCCATTTTTCAAGTGCGGATCCAGGATCCACATCGGAAGCAAAATTAATGGATCCTAAGCAGTGCTATTAAATAGTACAACTAACTAATTTTGACAATTTGGAGAGAAAAAAATAAGTTATAATATACTCCCCTGGTCCTCGTTCCAGGGAAGTGATTACTTATATTAAAAACTTGTATGGTATCGCTATAATCTGTAATTAAAGTTGTTGTGATACTTATCCGACAAAGCATTTATTTTCTTGATACATTACTTTGTATTTTTCTAATAAAATTATTAGCTAAAGTACCTGGCGTTGCCCGTCGAATTAAATTTGTTTAGCCTATATTACCTCCTGGATCTCAATTGATTCTCTAAAATAAAGTTCAGCCAATTTAGTTCAGTCGATTGGCCAGTTATAGCTAACATATATATATATATATTTGAGCGAAGAGCTTTATTATATAGAAGATAAATAACCTTACAGCTGCTGGAGGGGAGAAGGTATTCAATTATAAGGAACTAATAAATAATCTTCTAGCTGCTGTATGTAGGGGAGAAGGTATTCAAGTATAAGGAATTAATAAAAAACTTCTAGTTGCTGGAGAGGCGAAGGTATTCAAGAATAAAAAGCTAATAAATAATCTTCTAGCTGCTGTAGGGGAGAAGGTATTTAAGGATAAATAACTAATAAATAAACTTCTAGCTGCTGGAGGGGAGAAGGTATTCAAGTATAAATAACCTTCTAGCTGCTGGAGGGGAGAAGGTATTCAAGTATAAATAACTAATAAATAAACTTCTAGCTGCTGGAGGGGAGAAGGTTTTAAAGGAAGAGATAAAGCTTGAAGCTGGGGAGTTGATTGATGCCTCTTTCATCAGTAAGAAGAAATTGTGCGAGTTCTTTGAGAAGGAAATGACTGACTGTAAGGTATCAGGTTTTTTTTGTTATTTTGCTTGAGAATACTTGATCATTTTCTACAAATGGGACTTTAAAAAAAGTGAAAAAATGGTTTATAAATGAAAAAAAAATGGAAAATTTCAGAATAATTTAATTTTTTTTCACAAAGCCTTCCCCATTCTACTTTGAATAATATTATATTTATATGTACATAAATATATACTTGAAGGAGAGTAATCTAATGATGTCCCTGCACCTGAAGGCCACCATGATGAAGATATCCGACCCAATCATCTTCGGGCATGCTGTTAAAGTATTTTACAAGGTAGGATAGAATGTTTTTAATAGACGTAGTTTCAGTTTCAAACTTCATTCTACAGAGTTCAGTCTCCGATTCAAAACGAAACCCTGTTAACATTTATCGTATTAACAAGAAGAAAAATGTGTGTTTTTTAAAAAAAAAAGAGTTGAATTCTGTCAATTTCCTTCTTTCTCTCCTATTCCATGAATCTGCAAGTGAGAACATAAAACAGCAAGTGTAATCAATCGATTTAAATATTAAAAAGGTGACTTACTATTTTATGTTCATGTTTATGTTCATCGTTCGATGTTCATGTTCATATTCATGTTCATGTTCATGTTCATGTTCATGTTCATGTTCATGTTCATGTTCATGTTCATGTTCATGTTCATGTTTATGTTTATGTTTATGTTTATGTTTATGTTTATGTTCATGCTCCATGGTTATGTTCATTACATGTATATGTTATAATGTTCATGTTCATTTTAATATTTATGTTCATGTTCATGTATTTAGGATATGTTCATGTTCATGTTCATATTTATGTTCATGTTCATGTATTTAGGATTTATTCATGTTCATTGTTCATGTATTTAGGATATGTTCATGTTCATGTATTTAGAATATGTTCATGTTTATGTATTTAGGATATGTTCATGTATGTATTTAGGATATGTTCATGTTCATGTATTTAGGATGTGTTCGCTAAGCATGGTGAACTGTTTGCTGAGCTGGGTGTAAATGTAAACAACGGGTTGGGTGATATTTACGAGAAAATCAAGGGAAATCCTAAACAGGGAGAAGTTGAAGCAGATATCCAGGTATATATATAGCTAATTATAATGTCATAAATTCAACATCTTATCGATAAGTTTATGCCAAAAGTATTCACGAATATGAAAAATAAAAAGTGTGTATACATTTTTTAGAGGCTGTCTATAGTGTCGGTAGAAGAAAGTTTCAAAGTTTACCCCCCCCCCCCCTTTTATAAAATAATTTTCTTGTTTAAAGTGAACCCTGAAAATAATATTTAGAATTCTAGGGAAAGCTCTCATTCTATTAGACTTGTCCACCCCCTCATCTGAACACCTCTATCCCATATTAAACTATATGTTATAACCAAAGAAACCAATGCCAACGTTGGGTAATTAGTTGAAAATAATAAGGTGCATTGTGAGAAGTGTGAAGTGCGATAATATTGTATTTAATTTATTTAGGCCGTGTATTCTACTAGACCAAAGTTAGCTATGGTGGATTCTAGTAAAGGTTGGTTAATAAAGCAAATATATCTATTATCTATGGTGAAGGGATGGGCCAGGTTTGTAGGGTCAATTGAGCCTTTGAAGGTCACTTATTTTTAACAAAAGATTAAAATTTAATTAGTTTGCTGTAGGTGTTGCATGTAATTGACTAAAATTGCGCTTTTTTACACCGACTTCCTTCTAAAATTAATTATTTAACTCAGGAATCACGAACCTTCATGTTCCCAGCGATGTTATTATTGACGCTAGTATGCCCTGTGTAGTGCGCGATGGTGGTGCAATGTGGAACAAAGATGATAAGGTAAAAACGATGAGGGACTCTGGGTTTGATATGCTTAGCTTTGATGGTTGGAAAATTTGTTTTTCCTTCACCTTGTGACTTTTGGATTTGTTGGTAAACTAGAACCAGATTTATTAACGGTTTTTAATGAAAATATATATTTAATGTATGGGTTCTCCAAGACATGGATTTGGATATCTTTCTGATTATTTATGTTTAGTTAGAGGAGGTGAAGTGTCTAATCCCTGATAGAAGCTATGCCACTATGTACCAGGTATATATTTACACAATCGTGATCATTTAACCTGATTAAAAAATTTAGGAGTAAAATGCAGATTTGTTTTTACCCCTTATGATACAAAAATTTGTTTGTTTACAGTGTTACCCAAAAAGGATGAGACTTTAAAGACGACTTTATACCGAATCTGTTTTTCACCCTTACATTCATCTGTACACTTGTGTACGTTTCTTAGAGATTTTATTTAGTCAAATCATAAAAAGACTTCATTTAAGACAGTAAACAAAAATCCATCTGTTTCGATCCTTTTAGGGGTTTAATTTTTTTTTTACTTTTCAGTGGATATTCTTAGATATCAGTTTGTGGATGTATTGTATGTTATTAAGAATATTCTAAAATAATGAAATGAAATGATCTTTGAAAAAAAATTCGTTTACATACCATTGAGTGGCCAGAGTGGCTCGAGAAACCTGTACACCCTCCCACTCTTGTTGAAGAAATTATGCAATCCTAAAAAACAGATATAAAATTGAATAAATATGTATGTATTTAACGGTATATATTGTGGGAAGGGGATTTTCCTAATTATCTCGCCCCTGAATCCAAATATACCGATTGAATACGATAAAACTAATAATTTTTCCTCTTCAGGCTTGCATTGCTGACTGTGTAGCCAACGGTCAGTTTGATTGGACCACGATGGGTCACGTGTCAAATATTGGACTGATGGCTAAGAAAGCTGAGGAGTACGGAAGTCATGATAAAACCTTCGAGATACAAGGAGATGGTGTTGTAGAGGTAAACTCCATAATACATTTCAAAGATTTACCTATTTCCAACCCCAAGGAGCAGGGTCGTATACAAGATTTTTCTCATTTTATGGTCGTTATCCGTTAAAGACTGAAAACCCTCTGAAAACTCCGCTGATTCAAAGAACGGGGGTTGGGGGCTTATAGCCAATCCTGAATAAATTAGAAATTTGACAAAAACTGGAACGTTTTCCCTCTTTTGATATCTACTTTTTACCCAAAAATCATTTATTTCCAACTTCAAGTCATCTATTTTTTCAATTTAGCAAAGAAAGTAAAAAATCTTCAAACAAAAATATTTGCGATCCCTACAAACGTTTCTAACATACTGGAAGAATGATTTCTGAAAGTATACATACATTTACATTCTTAGATGTATGAACTAGAACATTTTTAAAAGTGACATTCTTAATATATCATTTCTCGAAACCAACCCAATTAAAAATTAAATTTATCTTAAAGGGACTGTAAGCGTAATATCAAGTGAACCTCATTACAAAGATGACATTTCCTGATTCACAACGGTACCCTTGAAACCTTTATGCGATAAATAATGATGAAGATGTTTCGTTTTTAAAGGTTTAAAAGTGTTTATATTCTAATGATTCCAATATGTTGTTCTACATTAGAAATGCGCAAGTAACTTTTATAGTAAATCAACATTGAAAAAAATCAGTTGTGGTTTCAAAATATTAGAAACATTGATACATTATTCATACTTGAGCAGACAAAGCTTTTAAGGGCGTAGCGAATACCTACTCCATAACAATTTATTCGAAACGTATCTATCCAGGTCTATTCGTTACCAAAATCAACTAGGACCAACACTTCGATTCTTAATGCCAACAAGGCAATATCTCAACCAGGCTAAATTCCCCAATTTTAAAGGACACACACTACACAGTCCAAGTCTCCCTAGTTCGGAACGCCACACAGTCCAATGAAATTGCTACACTTGCAATTTCTCAACCAGGCTTAACTCCCTGGTTCTGAAGGACATACAGTCCAATGAAATTGCTAACAGGCAATTTCTCAACCAGGCTTAACTCACTGGTTCTAATGGACACACAGTCCAGTGAAATTTCTCACAGGCAATTTCTCACCGAGGCTTAACTTCCCGGTTCTAAGGGACACACTTTCTAATGAAATTGCTAACAGGCAATTTCTCAACCTGTATAATTAAAGCTCTATTTCAAGCTTACTATAGATTCAATGCTAAATCAACGAGCAAAGATCTCTGCTCGTATGTTTCAACGAGAACTAAAGCTGTCTTCCAAGCTAACTTAGGCTTCTGATAAGTAATCAAAAAAAGAGTCTCAATCAACTAACTTTATTCAATAGCTTTGGTTACAAAGTTAACAGGAATTGACGTAATTCAATTCTTACCATGTAATTGATATCACATAACGCAGATATCTTTTCCCATATTTTATAGCGAAATTTAAGTAAGTCGCATGATTTGAGGTAATCATGTTAAATATTCGATTGAAACACAATTTTAATGAATAATCTCATTTTGTCTTTAAAACATGTGACTCACTAGTTGGCCTCAAACTGAGTATTGATTAATGAACTATAATGTACCACTGAATGATAGGTTGTCAAATAATGATAATAATAATATTGATAGTACAGAAAGAGAAAAATAAGTATATTTAACAAAATAGAACAGATGGACTAATTATAATTGGAAGACAATTATCGGGTTTGCTGCGCATTTCAAACAGAAGGAAACATTTTTGATAATTAATTGTTAAGATTATATTTAAAATATTGAAGTCCTGATTGCTCTAGGTTGTTGACGGTAGTGGGAAACCTGTGTTCTCCCATACAGTAGAGACTGGAGATATCTGGAGAATGTGTCAAACTAAGGTTTGTATTATTATGTTTTAATGAAAATAAATTATGGCAAAAATAAAATGTATACGAAACAGTTTCTTAAAATTTTTCCATCTTCATCCTCCACTGCGACAGTTCATCTTCCCAAGTGTTTAAACCATTTCAACACAATGCTAGACATCAAATACAACCATATAGCACTTTCTGATGAACATTACTGTATTTTGATTAAAAAAACATTCAAATTATCTGCGTTATCGAATGAACATTGATTGTTTGATAATTTGAAAGGAAGACGACATTTGAGTGAAATATATTATTTGCGGTTAATCCCATGATACATTTTAGAACTACATTTGCGCATTTCATTATCTTAATTTATAATTTTTAAAGTTAATCATTGCTTTCTATGTGTAATATTTTGTTAATATGGTTAAAAATCCCTTCTGGTGCAGTTAAGAGAATTTTACTATATAAGATAAATGAAAACTGTTTGTAGAACGCTCCGATCAAGGATTGGGTTGGATTAGCTGTTTCTAGAGCCAGAGCATCCAATACTAAAGCTATATTCTGGTTGGATCCTGCTAGAGCCCATGACAGGTGATTTGTTCAATTAATATGATTTCTCTTTGGAGATTAACGTTTTTTGATCATATAAGTGTAGTTTTTTTTTTTGCCCAATGGTTGATGACATCACATACTGTTAAAGTAAATTCTTTATTTATAAATTTCTGGTCTTTGGTAAAATTATATTTTCTTCTCAGATGGAAATACACGTTTCTTAACTTCGCAAAGTGTAGTGTCTTGTTTACTTTTTTTTATCCCATGGGGCAGTAAACTAACTTCTATAGCAGTCGATTGGGAAATCATGGGTTCTAAGGGTGGAGGATGGTTTACTAATCCCTAGAATAAGTGTTGATATAAAGGAACCTGGTTGATCTAGCGAGCAAGTATCTTCTGGAGCTTGATACAACAGGACTAGAGATCAGCTTTGCCACACCCGTGGAGGCGATGAAGGAATCCTGCAGCAGGGCCAGGGCGGGGCTAGATACCATCAGTGTAACAGGTATACATCTTAAAAATTAGCTGCGCTTTGTGCATGTCTAATGTCAATCGTTATAGAATATCAAACTTGTTTCTTTTTTAAATTAATTTGTTTCTTTTATTCGCCATCAATAAATTCATATCAGTTAAGAATAAACAATGTGAATTGTGAAATCTAGTTAGATTTAATGTTATTCAAATCTATGTTGTGAGCTATATAATGTTTCCTAAACGGAAAGGCAGTTTCAATTCTGAGCTAATATTTTCCGTTTCAAGGCTAATCTTGTAATTTGCTGCAGGGAACGTACTGCGTGATTATCTGACAGATTTGTTCCCTATTATTGAGCTGGGAACATCAGCTAAGATGCTAAGTATAGTTCCTCTCCTAGCAGGAGGAAGGTTGGTGGATAAACTTTTTCTACTTTTGTCAATTTTAGATTGGATTTATGTTGTTCTACGTTTTTAAAAAATATTTAGTAAAACCGTTTATTTTTCGTGCATTTTTTAAGTTTAAGCTTAAGCCAATTAGTTTTTACTTGTTTTTGCAACCAAGAATTTTTTTCTTCATATTAAGAAGTCAGGTTATACAATTAATTTATTCTAAGGTATGCATTTAAATTGATTTTTGAAGAATTTTCTCTTTTTTTTGGGGGGGGGGTATTTGACATTCACTAACAAGTAGCAAGCTGCAAGTTAATCCTCTTTTCCCTCAAATTCATTTACTTTTCTCTTTAAATCCTTTATTTTTCCTGATAAGCCAAAACTACAGCAAACATTTTTCTTTGTATCTTTTTCACGTATTGGGGAAGAGGAGGAAATATTTTCCAAGAAAATTCATACCCTTGATGGTTGAGATTAAATCAATGATGTATTTATAAAAAATAATTTGATTAGATTACTTGAGACTGGTGCAGGAGGTTCAGCTCCTAAACACGTGGAACAATTCATTAAGGAGAATCATCTTCGTTGGGATTCATTGGGAGAATACTTGGCTACTGCCATAGCCTTCCAGGTAAAATTCGTGATGCGCTGCACCGGCACCTTGTTACCATCCATGTCGTTGTTCTATTTTTATTTAATCATTCAAAACGTTAACATAATTTAAGGAAAGTTTTTCTTTCAAAAAGTAACGTCGGCTGTTCACTTTAAAATCATTTGACCAGTTATTTTCGTCATTTGACGTTTTTAATGGGGGCTCAGCCTTTATTTCTTCAGATCGATGGTAGACTTGTTTTCCTCGATATTATTCTTATCAGTATTCAATTTAGAAAAGTTAAGATCATCCTAGAAACCTACTTGGGTATATCTACATACATAATAGACGCGCAAGAAAATTGCCCCGGTATAATTCCTGAGAAAGGGAATTTACTTCGTTTCTTTATTAGATGTTGATTCAAAAATAATTAATTGTTAAAAGCATTTAGTAATAATCATGATTCAATCATTTCACCATATGTTTTATATTCAGCAAATGTTGGCTACAAATTAAAGACGACGTTGGAAAATATTCACATATTATGATGTTTTATGGGTCACACACTTTCAGGAACTAGGAGCGAAGACTAATAACGCTAAAGCAAACCTCTTAGGAGACTGCCTAATGGTAAGAATTTTGGTTAACGGTAGTTGTTTCTTCAATCCTCGCGGGTTTGCAATTTAATAATGATGAGAACTACCTTAGATTGTTTTTTTTTATGGTTAGAATTCTAATATAGATTTGTTGCTGGTAATGTTGCCTTAGTAGAAAAGATTATTAAAATTTGATGAAATACTTATAAGCTTAATGGAATGATTGATTGATTGGTCATCAAAATTATCCATAGGAGGCGGTTGGAGTATGGTTGGAGAACAACAAGTCCCCAGGAAGGAAGAGTGGGGAGATAGACAACAGGTTGTTACAAATTTTATTTACAATAAAAATTGGTAAAATAATTCAACGCTCGCAATAAACTCTATTATCTGATTATCTGAATGATTAGCCAAAGGAATCCCTATATATGGCTCAGCTATTTGAAAGTGTGAACTTTTGATATTTCAATCTTGATATTTGATTTAACAGAATTCATAGTTTGAAATGTTAAAGATCTGCGACATCAACAAATTGCTAAGATATAGTCTACTAGGCTTTCAGGGCGCTTCGCCCCCATCTTCTATTTCAATTGTGAACAAGTTCTCTTATGTATACTATACATTGAAAGACAAAAACTAAAAAAGTTCCAGGATTTTTTGAAAAAAACATTCGCGGATTTTCAATATTGAATGAAAATCGTATATTGTTGGAGGCTAATTTTTAAGATAATCATCCATAAACCTTCCTCGGGGTCATGTGAGGTCCCACACAAAATTTGGGCCCCGATCGGTTTAGCCGTTTTGACGTTTATTAGATACAAACAAACAGACAACTAGACAAGCATAGTATATATAAAGATGGATTACAAAAAAACTAGAATTTGTGGTGACCGTTCAACCCATTTATGACAAACATTTTAATAATCTTAATATTTATAAAAGAAATATATTTTTATGATAAATATTTGACAGTTCACGATTCTTTTGTTTCGCAGTTTTTGGACAGAAATTTTCATTTTGTCGAGAAGATTTAAGTCTTTTTTATTTTGTTGCGATCTTTAGCACTATGATGTACAGAGTACAGATAATTTAAAATTATATCACGATGAATACTTTATGACATTGTTATAATAAAAGAATTTACCATGAAGAGGGCATGAATGATAAAGTGCGTAATATTTTTATAAAATCTAAATGTAGCGCCATGTCGAATTTTTTAAACAATTCAAATTTGATTAAGATTGAGTAACTATTATCTGGGTCTATACTGGGCTCAAGCTCTGGCTGCTAAGGATCCTTCTTGGAATCAATTAGCTCAACAGCTCAGGTAGGACGGTTAATCTCAATAGCTTAGGTAGGGTGGATAACTATTACTAAGCTCAATACCTCAGATAGGACGGATAAGCTCAACAGCTCAGGTAGGAAGGATAAGCTCAATAGCTCTAGTAGGACGAACAAGCTGAACAGCTCAGGTAGGACAAAGAAACTCAACAGCTCAGGAAGAACGGATAAGCTCAAAAGGTCAGGTAGGACGGATAAACTCGATAGCTATGGTTGGACGGACAATATCAACAGCTCAGGTAGAACGGATAAGCTCAACAGCAAAGGTAGGACGGATAAGCTAAACAGAGTTAGGACGGATAAGCTCGACAGCTCAGATAGGACGGATACGCTCAACAGCTCAGGTAGGCGGAATAAGCTTAACAGCTCAGGTAGGACGAATAAGCTCAACAGAGTTAGGACGGATAAGCTCTACAGCTCAGGAGGACGGATAAGCTTATCAGCTCAGGTACGGATATGCTCAACAGCTCAGGTAGGACGGATATGCTCAACAGTTCAGTTAGGACAAATAGGTTCAACAGCTCAGGTAGGACGGATAAGCTCAACAGCTCAGGTAGGACGGATATGCTCAACAGTTCATAAATTTATATTATATTCTGTTTTGTCCAGGGAGAACGAGGAAACTATCAGTAAGGAGTTAATATCCTGCCAGGGAACACAAGTTGATATCGGTAAAATATTATTTAACATTTTTTTTAAGTTTTGAATACTACGTTTTAACCAAAATAGATTTTAATCGGAAAAAAAATAAATTGTGAAAAGTAAATAATCTAGTTTAATGTTTTTACCACTTAGTGTGAAAAAATATTTTAAGTTCACAATCACACCGTAATATTGCAAAAATATTATTAACTTTTAGTTTTGCGCCAAAGTTTTTTGTATTCGATGTTATTCTGACCACATCAATGTATACATTTATACTTTACACTACGAATTAAAATGTTATTGTTCAAAGCGTATAGAGTGCGTTCACATTTGAATATTGACCATTGAGATAACTCAATGAGAACAACTTCTGGGATATTTTAAATTATCCAGTTTTCAAGATTACCGATCGAGTTTACAAACAGTTACATAGTTACATATATTATTGATCATCTGTAGAAAGTACACATATACGTCAATGTTCACAGTAGCCTAAACATCTGAACGTTTTCTTAACAATAATATACATGCAAGGATGATCTCGCGTGATATGTAAATAATAATTTCTAAAATAAATACGCAGTTGTTCTGTTACATCTTAAATATTTCAATTGTTGTCAGAATTCAGTTTTTGTTTGCTTTGAATCTTTTCTGTCAAGAGAGTCAAGATTCTCTTTCTTATAAGATTAGTTTTATATTTAATATTCATAATTAAAAACCATTTTATATTTTAAAGTAAAATTATCCATAATGGCATTGAGAGTAAATCTAATCTTTTAACTGTTTTAATCAGTAACTGTTATCTGTTATAAACTGTCTGTAATCTGTATATTCTAGGTGGATATTACAAGCCTGATGATGCAAAGGCCGAGGCTGCAATGCGTCCCTGCTCTGTTCTAAACCAAATTATTGATACCTACTGACGCTCTAACCTATAACGTAGATATGGAGAAGTAGTTTTAAAACATTGCATTTATGTAAATTGATTAGTTCAATGATTGATTTTGATAAGAAGTGTTTTCCTATAGAATATTTGATATTTTTATTAATAATGTTTTTTTTGTATTTTTATGCAGGTTATTTTTACACATAGTTTAATGTTTTATAAAAATGAATAAAGATTTTCAATTAATTAATCTAAAACTGTGATTTAATGAATTTTTACCGGTTTCAATGTTAGAATGAAATAGCTTTTTACTTAAAATAAAATATATTTTAATTAGTTTAAATTTTCTTGCTGGGATTTGTTTGTTAGTTTTAAGGAAATATCACGTGAAAAATTTGTTTTTCTCCCAAATTTCATATAAAAATCGTTCAATTAATAAAAAGAACCGCGAAACAAATTGACCAGCAGTGCATAGCTTTAAAAGATGGAAATGCTGGATATTTTTTAAAATTTCGTCTTTCACAATATTAAAGATTTCAAAACCGTACAGTATTGAAGATTTTAATTTTGATGTGGATTTTTTGCAGATTTTCTATCGAGAGGATATTATTAAATTTTGCCAATCTAATTTTTGTCAGACTCATTCTTGTATAAGCAAAAAAAATTAAAAATGTGTTTTGTTAAAAAAGGGTTATCTGTCTCTCTCTAATTATTCATAAGTTTAATATTTTATTACCCGGGCATAAATCTAAAGGAAAAAAAGAATAAAATATTGTTTTACGTTTTAATTACTGTCCATTGCCTGATGTGTTATGTCATGCAAAAAATTAACAATGTAAATTGTAACAGTAACAACTAACAGGTGCACTGTGCAGTACAACTTAATCTTAGAGTTTAAGGGGTCTGAGGCCGAATATTAAGAATTTAAACCGCGCCGCTGATCCGCCAAAAACCGGTTCCAATTGAGCGCCGGCTCATATCTCGAAACGTACACTGAATACAATTTCAAGTGGAACCAACTAATTTCTAAGAAATTAAACAAATTTAATAACTGTAATTTGCCTTTTCCCACTCCAACAGAAGATTAATACTTGAACGAGGAGGTTTCTCTTTGCTTATGTCTATGTCTTAGAGTTAGAGTTACCTAGAAAGAATGAGAATTCAGAGACGATTGTACCGAATTTATACTGTCTGTTTCCTTACATTCGAGTGTAAATTAATCTCAATCAAACTTTGAAAAAATATAGACTGCCAGTCGAATCAGGATAAATATTTCGATACAAATATTATCGTCATCAGTCCTGAAACATGAACAGAAACAGTGGTAGGAAAATTAAATTATTGAACAAATAACAAACATGTACAAATCAAATATGATATGTATTTACCAAGAATTTGTGGGGTCTCAATTTAATCTGAAGTTGCGGTATGTTTGTAAAATAAGATTAGTGTCCTGACAAAGCTGGGTTTCTAAGCAAGCATTGCTAATTCAAGGAAATCAACCTTGTAAGGAGAAAGATTAGGTTTTATAAAGCATCTATGTATGTAAAGTTGTAATCATTGTTTGTCTGGGTGTCTGTTTGTTTGTCCGACCACAACTCAGAAACCCCTTGACCAACGAGGTTATAGTATACAGAGTGATGATTTACGCTAATCCTTTACTAAACAGTTGAAAGTGTACAGTACAGCTAACTGAGCACACAGGTAGAGAAATATCATCCACCCTGCCCAATTGACCAATTTGTCCCAAATTTTTTATTGGGGAACTCGGGAGAACTGCACGGCAATTTTGTTAGCTTTGTTTTGAGATTCTAATTGGAGTGGGTCGACTTAAACGGGAAAAAATCGTAATTTACGACAAAGGGCGGGTACACGGCGGGAGTAACTATGAGTACCCAGGGGCAATGCTGGGTTCCCAAGCTAATTTAGGATAATAAGTAACTTACATAATACCGTTCTGCCCGTCATGAGAAACGATTATATGTAATTAGTTATAGTCAAAACTGACAATATAATTAAAGTCAACATCAATATTTCATCTTCAAGTGTTCTTTTAATATTTGTTATTTCAAATCAGTTAAAGGCCCACACCCGACAGGTAAACAGATTAAAGAAAAGGAAACTTTATGCATTTGGCATCATTCAAAAACCAGGTTCCGTAAACCCGGGTTTTCATGATACATCGTTGGATATTTTTTATACTCAAATTAACGTTTAACCATTTATTTCTTTGTAACCTGGGACATATTATAGTGAATAGTGAGATGTAGTTGAATTACTAACGCCGCCGCGTCAAGCTGAAAAGAAGCTTAACTACTTCTCTTATTTACTAAACTTAGTCTCTGTTAGTGAATTGAACTACATCTTTGATATTTCAAACTGTAATTATTTTTTCTTGTAAGTTAATGGTTTTAAATATCTTTCAGGTTGAAAATATATAAAGAACATAACGGTTACTTAAAAAGTTCCTTATGATTTCAGTAAAAATATATAAATCCAGCAAGCAGAAAATAATCCTAGAAATAGCAAACCGGGTCACTTGCAGAATATTTCTTTTTCAAAATGTCAAAAATAAAATGTTGACACGATACTTTTCAAACTTTGAAACAAATTTGGGTTTAAACAACACTTACATTTAAAATCTATTTTTGTCTACGCGACGCTTCAGTAATAATTTGTAAAACTAATTAAAAATGAGATCTTAAATTTATCCACACAGATCTTTTAATTAAAGACGTACTTTCTGGAAAGTTTAGTGTGTAGTAAAAAGTACAAAGCATTAAATATTACAAATAAATATTTACAAGATTCCATTGTGTAGAGAAAGCTGTAAAAACGTTTTTGTTGAATAATTTTAGGATTGCATGATAAACCTAATTTTTCTACTAGATACGAATATACATAACAATAACAAAATAATGATGATAAGAAATCAAATAATAATAATAATAATATGTTTAAATGAATAAAGAATGTGGTCCGGGATATTGAAGTTAGCACTGGTTGTTGCAGTGTACTGTCTTCATTCAACAAATGGAAAGGGTAAGAATTTATTTGATAGAGTAAATTATAAAGGCATGGGCGGAATTAACTCTCTATCTGTAAACTCCAGTTCTCTTACTTTCTATTTGTAAACTCCAGTTGTTTACAGATAACTGGAGTTTACAGATAGAAAGTCTGAGAACTGGAGTTTACAGATAGAGTATGAGAACTAAAGTTTACATAAAGAAAGTTCAAACTGGAGTTTACATAAAGGATGTGTAGGAACTAAAATCTGTAAACTCCAGTTCTCCTACTTAAAATCTGTAAACTCCAGTTCTCCTACTCTGACTTTAATTTTCTTACTTTCTATCTGAAACTCTAGGATCTCCCTCATTCTATCTGTAAACTCCAGTTGTCCTAATTTTCATTTGTAAACTCCTGTTTTCCTACTTTCTGACTGTAAACTCTAGTTCTCCTACTTTCTATCTGTTTTTTTAACTTTATCAATTTATTTATTTATAATTTTTTTATGAAACAAATTAATTGATACATGTATATAATGCAGAATGCAGATACTCATTTTTCCAATCTTCTTGTTTCCTGGCTGTCCTGTTTTGCTCATTCAATTAGCTGCATACCCCCGCCCCCCCCCCCAGGAGGGTTAATATACAGTTTCGAGAGCTGATCAGGCAATTTGTAGTATTTCAATTTCAGCTCTTGAGTTTCTATATTAATTCCAGTTGTTTTTGATATCGGCCATCTATGCAGGTTTATTGCTGACATTGTTGTAATGAGAACTTCCCTTTGTCAGCTGCATTACATGTATCAGTGTCTTGCAGTAAGTTAGAAAGAAATAAGTAATCCAGTTTCCATTTTGAGAAGGGTGAAAAACCAGTTCATGGTATTTGATTTAAAGTCTATTGAAGGTTCTGTTCATCCTTAAAACCTGTATCAGCGTGTACTTCATCCCTGATGTTTTGAGTTTCTGTATTCCTTCTGTATTCATCTTTATTACTTTATCTTGTTCGGGATTAGTCACGCTTTCCACTCAGTTGTGGAGAGAAGTGACCTTGATATCTAGACTTCTATACAAGTACAATGCACATAGCGCCCTTTCTCTCAACAGGCTTAGAAAGCTCTGCTGACACCCTTCCTCTGCAAGGTTCGGATACACACTTACTTTCTATCTGTAAACTCCAGTTCTCTTACTTTCTATCTGAAGACTTTAGTTCTCTTACTTTCTATTTGTAAACTCCAGTTGTTTAAAGATAACTGGAGTTTACAGATAGAAAGTGTGAGAACTGAAGTTTACAAATAGAGAGTATGAGAACTAGGGTTTACAGATAGAAAGTTGAAAACTGGAGTTTACATAGAAAGTGGAAGAACTAAAATCTGTAACCTCAAGTTCTCCTACTTAAAATCTCTAAACTCCAGTTCTCCTACTTTCTATGTGTAAAATCTAGTTCTCGCCTACTTTCTACATGTAAACTCCAGTTTACCTACATTCCATCTGTAGACTTTAGTTCTCCTACATTCTATCTGTAAATTCCAGTTCTCCTACTTTCTATCTGTAAACTCCAGTTATCCTACTTTCTATCTGTAAACTCCTGAGTATCCTACTTTCTATCTCCCTCTTATCGGCCCTCGAGTAATAGGCTTAAAGGTCTTGGAATTTTCTTATTGGAAACGACTAAGTCTATGGATCCTATAGTCTAGGGCAGTATCAGGATTTAAGATAATATACTCACGCGAAGCGCGAAGATAAAAAATCCCCCTATATTAATTTTAACCCCCCTGTAATATTTCTATTTACCCTTCAAAAATTACAGTTTCTTTAACAGTAGGGTAGGCAAATTAATGTCTTAACAATCCATTTGTTTATCTTATTAAGATATTAAAAATATTATGGATATATATATCATATCATATTATTCTATTGAAGTGATAACTATTTTTTATTTACTGCTATTACAATTGATGTTTTAGTAAATAATGCTTCTTAAATCATGCTAATTTTTATTTTTATTTTTTAGAGTTAAAAATAAAAGTTTACCATAAGAAGGCTGAAAGTAAAAAAAAGGAATTTTTGTTAAAAAAAATCCTTCCAATCTACGATAATTTAGTTTTTTGGCCGCTTGAATTAAAGGCGCGCATTTAAACACATATTGTCCGATCCGAAATTGTGGCAAGCCTCTTTGAGTGCATCGCCATTCTATCCAACTTTACCAGCCTGTCGGTGGTCATAGATTACCTATTCCAGGTCAAAAGCCTACGGAGTAATGACTATGTAAAAATCCACGGGGGGGGGGGGGTACACTCCTAACTTCACTCAGGGGGGAGGTAATGCTAATGGACTTCCCCCCCCTGAAACCGCCTATGCCTATCGTCCTCCCGTTGATGGCTAAACCTATCGTCACAGATTTTATTTCAGAGGTGAAATGCCGTCATTTTAGGATTTAAAGGGGCTGTTGGTGTAATTTTAAGGTACCCTCCATTAAAAGCGGGACATGTCCGATTCACAACAATACTCTTAAAACCTTAATGTGATCAATAATGTGAAAGATAAAGTCGCTTTTCTGACCTGAAAAGTGTTGAATTCTGATAATTTCTCAAAGACTGTCATTTCTACAAATTGAAACCACAAATGAAAATTAACAGTTTTTATATACAAAATCATGAAAATATAATTATCAGACTTAAAGATTTGTAAATGCTAATCAATTAATGGAGGGTCACTTGAAATCACGTTTTCAGTCTCCTTAAAATTTTAGGATTCTTGGATTTAAGACATCTTTCAAGTCTAGCCGCTGAATTTCTATGCCTAGCTGAATATCCTATCAAAAATTTACAGCTCCAGGCAATTCAATGCTCGTTGCTGATTGGAATTTATTTGGATGTATACAAGGTGTCCCACAAAACGTGACAGTTGGTAAATTGTTTTATATGTCGTCTTCCATACACTTTAATAATTTGCAGTTTATTTAGTTTTAAAAATCTTTTGCTCAAATATAATTTACTAGCCTTAGAGGGATTCTCACAAAAAATTTCGTGGATTTTCAAAATTTTCAAAAATTTAATGAAGATCGAATTTTGATGGAGACAAATATTTGAAATTTTGATCATTCACAAACCTTCCCTGGGGCTCTATGAGGTCCCACAAAAAATTTGGGCCCGATCGGTTCAGCCGTTTTGACGTTTATTGGATACAAACAGACAGACAAGCCAAATTTATATATAGATTTCGAAGTTAATTTAGCTATAATATGACTCCTTTATAATATTTTTATTATTGTCTTGGTATTAAACAACTGTACAAATTATGAAAGAAGACATTCTAAACTATTTACCAACTGTCATGTTTCGTGGGACACCCTTATGTGCGATATGTTCACTTTCCTAGACACAAATAACGGAAGCCGACATTTATTGTATAAGCTTTCTTCTGGAATATTCGTAGATTTCGGAGGAATTGGAGATGTGGAGGAAACAAAAACACTGATCAGAGATGTTAGAGCATCTAAAATTACTGAAGAACCCGCGGAAAATAAAAAAAGTAAAAATGACAGCTCCGTAAAAGCACGACGCCGATCAGAAAGAAAAAGAAAAAACATAAAGAAAAAAGCTAAAAAAGCAGCTAAAAAAAAGGCAGCAAAAAAAGCAGCTATGAAAAAAATTGATAAGAAAGGTTCTCAAAGGGTAAAGAAGAAGAGAAAAGTAAAACAATTAGATAAAGAAGCTAAGCAAGCTGGAACTATCAATGAGGCATGCGTCAAGGTAATTCATTATTTTCTAAAAGTTAAATCACAAGGAAAGAAACTAATTTAGTAAAAATAAAGAGGGATATAATTTAATTACAAAAGAGAGGCATAATTTAGACACAGGAAGATATCTTAATTTAGCCATGAAGCAGGGATATATTTGAGACACTAGGGAAGAACATAATTTGGTCAAAAAGAACTGAATTAAATAACATAAGTTTAATAATAAGGACGGGATTTAATTTTATTAGATACCTGTAATTTATTGACAATGGAGAGACTACACATTTGAAATTAAATAACAAGGGATAGAAGAAATATTACATAATAATTTGATCATAAGCGATATTACATAATTTTATGATACTAGCCTTAGAGGGTGCTTCGCGCCCATCTTCTAAATTAATTGTGAACATGTTGTCTTTGTGTACATCGTAAAACACAACAAAAATAATTCGCGGATTTTCACAAAAAAATTCGTGGATTTTCAAAATTTTCAAAAAATTTAATGAAGATCGAACTTTGATGGAGACAAATATTTAAAATTTCAATCATTCATAAACCTTCCCTGGGGTCCCTAGATGTCCCACAAAAAATTTGGGCCCGATCGGTTCAGCCGTTTTGACGTTTATTGGATACAAACAGACAGACAGACAGACAGACAGACAAACAGACAGACAAGCCAAATTTATATATAGATTACATTATTTGGTCATATTTGATCATAAGCAATATTACATAATTTTATTATAACACATTACATTATTTGGTCAGAAGAGATATTTCATAATTTGATCAGAATAGATATTACATTATTTGGTCAGAAGACATATTACATAATTTGTTCAGATGAGCTAAATATTACATAATTTGTTCAGTAGATATTACATTATATGATGAGGAAATATTACATGATCTGTTCAGTAGGATAATTAACAGTTGTCGTGAATTAGGATTTAGCTACTTTAGCCGGACTGGCTGCTAACCAAGCCAGGAACTATTTTCAAATAGCAGCCAGAGCTTTGGTAAGTACAATGTTTATCAATTGTACACATCAATTCTTATCTATCTCCTACATAATCATACTTAAAACATAAATCATGTTTTTGTTAAATAAGATTATGTATGTTTAAAAGTCTAAAGATTAGATTGTTTTGTGTGTTATATTTTCTGAAGTTTATAATACCATTATTTTATGTTGCTTAAAGCTAGAAATTATATTTTTGTTAAACTGTCTAAAGTTTAGGTTGCTACTTTCTCTTTAGTTGTAAAGTTTAGGTTGCTGAAGATAAAGTTGTAAAGTTCAGATTACTATTTTTGTTCATTTGTTTAAAGTTTAGGTTGCCAATTTTTCTAAAGTTGTGAAGCTATTTTTTTATATTGTCTAAAGTTTAGGTTGTAATTCGAGTTGTAAAGCTGAGGTTGCTAACTCAGTTAATTCTTCTAAAGTTGCTAATTTTAAGAAATTGCCTAATTTTATGTCCTTTTTTATGTTAATGAATCTGAAGTTGTTAAAATTGTAAAGTTTTGGTTGTTAATTCTGATAAAGTTGTAAAGATTCGTTTGCCTATTCCCTTAAAAATGTAAAGTTTAGATTGCCTACTCTGCTAAAATTGTCCTATGCATAGACTGCTGATTCTGCTAAGAAGTCTAAAGAAGAGAAGAAGAGTGTGTTTAAAGATCCCTTCAGTACTCTAGTTTCAAACCTTGGTGGAGACTCTACTAATCTTACTTGTGGCGGGAAATCCTCTACAGATAATACTACAGTAGGTAAACCCTCTATACAGATAATACTACAGTAGGTAAACCCTCTATACAGATAATACATACAGATAATACTACAGTAGGTAAACCCTCTATACAGATAATACTACAGTAGGTAAACCCTCTATACAGATAATGCTACAGTAGGTAAGCCCTGTACAGATATAAGATAATACTACAATACATATTTTTTAATCCCTATATCTTTACAACCTCATGGTGTAAACCTTTGGTATTTCAAACTTAGATTATTTGATCTAACAGAATTCAAATAGTTAGAAATATGAAAAGGTCTACGACGTCAGGTTGCATGAGATGTAGGGATTTTAAAATTAGAGTTTGTGGCAAAGACTTAATTCCTTTGTGCACTAACTAAAACATTCTGTTCTCAAATTCTGATTAAATGTTTGCAATACTGTCGATAATACAATATTGCAAACATTATGTAAGGTTTTTGCTTGTTGCAGTACGTGATTATGTTTAGAAACGGTAAGTGTACTGGAGCAATGTGAACAAGATATAGAACAAAGTTGCAACTCCTCCCTGTCTGAAGATGATATTGCAAAAATAGATGCTTGCAAGACTGATACTTCAGACTTCAGGTACTTTTGCGCAATATTGGTCTTGTTCTAAATTATATAATTAAAATACAAATTTAAAGGGAGTGTTCGCGAAAAATGAAAGGGGGTATAGGCTTACGGCGATAAATAATCGCTTTTGATCGCTACTAATGGAGAAAATTGTTAAAAACGTCTCATACCGAAGTACGTAGATTCCTTACAAATTCAGAAAGTTGCAACATACGACTCGGATCGTAACAAAATCAATTTAATTCCAAACAAAGTATTCAGATATTAATAATATACATTAAAAAGATTTTTAAGGATTAAAGTTATCCTCCATTTACAGGAGGTCCGATGCACAACGATCAAGCTTTTTCTGATCAATGATGAATTTTCCATGATATATCATAAAATATTGTTTACTTTCAATGTTTTTATAAAATAGTGTTTGCAAATTTCTTTCTACGGAAACAATTGATTGAAATTGTAAGAACTTAACTTTTTTTTAAAATTAAAAATACGACAATTTTTTCTGCATTATTGAACAGATAAAGATTTGATGGTTACCGTTGTGAATTGAACATGGCACTTTTTAAATGGAGGATTAATTAAAACTAACGTTCCTTTAAAACAAGATATTTTCAGAGATTTGTACATTACACTTCTTGCAAGCCAATTATCAACAAAAACTGGGGAAGAGGTAAACGCAAAAGATGTTGAAAATACAGAAATTGTTTTTTATTAATATTAATTTTTTAGCTTTGTTTGGCAACCCAGGATCCTGATCTTCTTGCACTAAAGGATAAAGTACTAAACTGTAGTTTCCTGGCTGATAAGACGGGCCCAGCACAGAGCCAAGTTTCAGAGAGGAAAGCGTGTGTAAAAGGTTAATTTTAAAATTTGATTTTTTGCAGGAAAAACGGCATGAAATGTATCCTTTGGCAAAAGGGTCACCTAAAGAAATATGAGACTTAAGAAATGGCGATATGGAATTTGAACAATCTTTTTATCTTACTTTCTTAGTTACCTATATCAATTGTATAACTTGTACATTTCAATATTGTATTTAATGCAGGGTACAAAATTCGTCCCTTAGCTCGTTAAAAAATATCCTGAATGTGATAAACTGAACACATACCACACACTTTAGTTCTTTAATCCCTGTACCACACATACCACACACTTTAGTTCTTTAATCCCTATACCACACATACCACACACTTTAGTTCTTTAATCCCTATACCACCCATACCACACACTTTATTTCTTTAATCCCTATACCACACATACCACACACTTTATTCTTTAATCCCTATACCACACATACCACACACATTAGATCTTTAATCCCTAAACCACACATACCACCCACGTTAGTTCTTTAATCCCTATATCTTCTCAACCTAATGTTGTAAATGTTTATATTTCAAACTATTTGATGCAACAGAATTCAAAGTTTAAAATATAAAAGGTCGATGACATCAGGTTGCCAAAATATGTAGTGACTAAAAAACAAGAATTTATGGCGAGTATTCAGTGCGTTCAAATCAAATTGAAACTTACGGAGAGGGAAGGTTCGTTCATGAAAGTTAATGCAAAATATTGAACTCGGCTGGCCTTCGTTCAGGATAAACTGCAAAAATAGCACTTCTTGTTTAAGAGTTGGGTAAAACAAAAAAGTATTCATTCAAGAATTTAAAAAAAAATTTTTTGTTGTTGTTTCACCTTAAACCTTGTACATTAAAACGTCTTCAGGTAAATAAAAAAGGAGACAATACAATAGATATATATTTTACAAAAAAATCTATCTAAAATGTATAAAAAAAAATACATTTAACCGAGGTGAGAAAATGAGGGAAAAAATGTGTTAAATAAATATCTATATGAAACCCCAGACAAATAAAGGGGTTTCATATAGAAATTTATTCAACACATTTTTTTCCTCATTTCCTCAGATCCTAAAATTTCAAAAAACTTTAGAATTATTTATAGCTTGGATTTTTAATAAAAAACTCTACTTTTAGCCTTTGCTGCTTGTCGGTCTGCTGAAAGGAATTCTGCTGGAACTATCAGCAGATGTACTTACTGTCCTTCTCTAGACCAGGCAGCAGAGGAACTATCTGCTTTAACACGGTTAGTATATTAAAGGGACTGTCAAGGTTATTTAAAGTGACCATTCATTCACATACTCAATTCCTTTCGATAACCTATAAATCTTTGCCAGAGCAAAAAGTATCGAGATTTCTTTTATCTTGCAGGAAGAAGAGAAACTCGACGAAATTTCAGAATTATCTACTAAGATAAAAACGACGATATCTCCCTCATTGTTACTTAGCTAAAAGTTTCTAGGGTACCTTTCTGCGGGTAATTGCGAAGTGTCACTTTAAATTACGAAGCACTTTTAAAAAATATTAATAAATGAAAACATTTGTTGAAAATATAAAAAAGTTTTTTCTTATTCTTCTGGTATCAATAACAACAGAGACAATGTGGTATCAATAACAACAGAGACAATGTGGTATCAATAACAACAGAGACAATGTGGTATGAATAACAACAGAGACAATGTGGTATCAATAACAACAGAGACAAGGAAAAATCATTTTTTGTCCAAACAATACGATTTTTGTTGTGGCATGCAACAAGATAATTTTTGAATTTTTTCAAAACTATCTTTGCGCGTATTGCGAATGGAAACTTTAGTAATCTTGTAATAAAATAATGTTACAACTTACAAGTTATTATATATCTATATATTATCAATTTTATGTTATATTTAAGTTTTGATGTTTCTAGACTAAACGAAACGTTAGCAAATTCCGAAAAAGCTCTGGACTCTGCAATGGAAGCTGCTGGAGTTGCTTCTGGGCCTGGTAGTGACGGAACTGTAAGATCTTCAGATAAAAAAACTAACAAACAACCCCCCCCCCAAAAAAAAATAAAAATATTTCTCCTTTACTAGGTTTTAAGGACACTTCTTTGTGCAAAATTAAACAATAACAAAAAAAGTTCACGGATTTAACAATATTTTTTCGCTCATTTTCAAAAAAAAACTTTTGGACAAAAACTTTTTGAAATTTTGAACATCCAAAAACCTTCCCTCGGGCCATGTGAGGTCCCACACAAAATAGGCTTAACTATTTTGACGTGTTTATTAAATACAAATAGACAGACAGGCAAGCAAAGTGGATATATAAAGACATTAGGCAAATACACAAATTTTTACATATGTAATGTATGTTGTGTTATATTTGACCCCCTAGGTATTCTGCCGAGTGTTTTCTTGAAACGCCGTGCACTTCCCTCTATTTGTCAATACAACTTTAAAATTGCGCGCACTAAATAATTTTATAGAAACATCAATCATGAACTTTACAAATTACAAAATCTTACAGTGTACCTAGCTTGTACACTGTACAGTATATGGTGTACAGTGTACTATAGCTTGTACACTGTACAGTATACGGTGTACAGTGTACCTAGCTTGTACACTGTACAGTATACGGTGTACAGTGTACCTAGCTTGTACACTGTACAGTATATGGTGTACAGAAAGCTTTTCTAAAGAAAATTTGCCTTTAATATTTGAAGAGAATTCAGAGGTAAAGATAGATGGAAAAGTACATATATATCAACAAAACATACATAGATTATTTGATCTTACAGAATTCAAGTTTCCAATATCTAAGATCTGCAACATTGGATTGCAAAGATAAAGGAAATAAAATTATATTTTGTGGCAAAGACTTAATTCGTTTCCCCAATATTTCTCAAAATTTGATAAGAATTCATTATGCAACTTTCTATTTATAGATTTTATTTCCTAATATTCACTAATTGTTTAATGATTGATATAGCTCCCGGCTGGAAGAATTGACGTACCAAGACAAGCTGGGGATGGTCCGGGATGTGTTGAAGTTTATAATGGTAACAGTTACTTTAATCAGTCCAGCAGGGTTAAAGGGATTGATGACGTTTTTCTTCAAGTGATCTTGCTTTTATACAACTAGAGGCATACACGATTCACAACTAGGGTTTCCTTGTGGAATTTGCTTCCGCGCAATTATGGGCTCGGTAATTTCCGCGCAATGATGGGAAAACCTATAATCACAAGTTCGCAATGGTATCATAAACAAGTTTTTCTATTTTTAATCCTTGTTTCTCTTTATAGGGTTAAGCTTGAAAGACGATTATATATTTCACATTATTGATCAGTTATAGTTTCAAAGGGCAGCGTTGGTATCTTCTTTACATGCAGGGTCACTGACAATTTTAACGAAACGTGTGTGTGTTAAGATAAAAGCAAAAGATTGTGAAAAATATTAGGATTTATAAATTTCAGACCAATATTATATCTAAAGCTTTCATCAATTTTTTTCGCGACAATATTCATCGGGAAGATTTTTTTTCGCTTTATCATTAAACAAATTCTAATTTGTCAATTGACAGATATATTCAATTATAAAAATGGAATTTTTCTTTCATTTCGTCAAGGTTCTTTCAATAAAAGCATTCTCAGAAATAAAGGTTACGCTATTTTATATATTTTTCGGGATTTAAAGAAAATTAAAACAATTTGATTTACATAAATGATTATGTTTAGGACTGGTTTCCTTTAATAAAACTGCTTCTTCAGCTGATCCAAACAAACCCTTTAACACAGGAAGCTCATTGAAATCAGCAGAAACACTCAATGCTGTAACATCCAGGTTATTTCAAAAAGTGAACTGCGGGACCCAACAAACTGTGAAATAGGAAGACGACATTCGTTAAGCAATTCTATTGACAAACAACAATTATACAATATAAAGCCCTAATTTTTGTCTAACTGTCGTCTGCCTTTGACGCAGTTTTACTGGCTCAACTGTAGATATTTGGAAATGTGACATATCATAAAAATGGGATTAAATAATAATTGGGAGAACTGTAAATTTGATTTTTTGTCTTTGTGATCTGTATATTGTTTAAGAAGGGGTTTTGGTGTGCTTGTAGTGAATATATTTATCCAATATTATATTTTCAATGGAATTGATTACTCACAACAAACTCTATTTTTCTGATACCTTTACTTTTAAATTGCAAACTAACGTTAAAAACCCTCGATATTCAAAACTTTGACTATTTGAACATGTTTGTTTGAAATATCAAATATCTACGAGATCAGGTTGTAAAGATTTAAGGATAAGAAAACTATAGATAATGGCTAGTACTCTGTTCCTTTATCCCTATCACACTGAAATCTAGACAATACTTAGACATCATATTTTTAAACTACCTAGACGGTAAAGTGTCGCAACGCTTTGTCCATTGGTTTTATCTCACCATTTCACTTCTACATTTTTGTAGTCCTAGAAATATACATTTTAAAAAAGAAAATTTATTGTTTCTAGCTTAAGCTTAAAAGGAGTAATTGGCAAAATACTGTTTGATTTTTGTTTGAGAGCTTGCACATCTTGGTTTGCAGTGAGCATTTCTATGTTTTAGATCGACATTGGTTGAAGACCTGACATCTTGCAGTTCCTCCAGACAAACAACAATATACATCATATTTATCAGGTAAAATTATACAACAATATACATCATATTTATCAGGTAAAATTATACAACAATATACATTATATTTATCAGGTAAAATGATTTACAAAACAAATTCAAGAAAAAGAGCATTATATTTATTATTCATAAAACTTGACTCCTAAACTTGCCTAGATTGTGAAATTATAATTTTCCGTATTTTAAAACGACCTTTTTCGCATAAAATTCATGACAATAAAGTTTGAACATTTTTATGTTAGAATTTCAAATTAATAATTTCAACCAAACATAATAACAATCTTGGATGTCGAATTAAATTTAGAAAAGTTACGAGGTGGCAAAGACGTGCAAGTTATTCTGCCAAAATTAACTTATTTTCTACGTGAAGATTATTTAAAGTTTTAAAAAGATAAAGGAGCAATGTGCAATATTTTGCACAATATTTGCTAGTTTAAAGGGATTGTCAACGTGATTTCAAGGGACCATTTGATTAGAGAACATCAACCATTTCAAAATACTGCATTTTGAAACTGACCCATTTTTTTAGAAATTCTTTCTTTGCCACAAACTCAAATTTTCTAATCCTTATATCTTTGCAACCTGATAGAAAAAACCTTTGATAATTCAAACTTAGATTGTTTGATCTAACAAAATCCCTAGTTTGAAATATCTATGATATTGAATTGCAAAACTATAGGGTGCAAAGATTTAACTCCTTTGTGGTACCTCGGCATTTATAATTTATTTTTACAATTCCCAAATGTTAGAATATATTTTGCAGAAATTAATATTTACATTTATTGCTCCATCAAATCTTTAATCTTTAATTTTTAATCTCTAATCCAGGTTTTACATATTCTGGAGTCGATGGTGGAGAAGGTTTGTTGTTATTGTTAGGATTCAAATTATCAAGATAACAATTAACGCAGCAACAACTGCACTACCAGCAACAACCACACAGGCAATAACTTCAACATCGACAACTCCGACAACATCAAAACAGCCTACAACCTCTTCAACAACGACCCCAACAACAACGGCATCAACATCAACCCCGACAACAACGGCATCAACATCAACCCCAACAACAACGGCATCAACATCAACGCCAACAACAACGGCATCAACATCAACCCCAACAACAACGGCATCAACATCAACCCCAACAACAACGGCATCAACATCAACCCCAACAACAACCCCCACCACAACTGCTACTATTGCCAACAGCACAACAACAACTGGTTCAACTAGTTCTACTATTTTATCCTCTACAACGTCAATGCTGATCACTTTTGAAAGACCTGTCCTTACAAAATATCCATTGTAATTATCTGAATCTATGTAAGAAAGTCCCGGAAAAAAAAGTTTCTGAAAAAAACCCTGGAAATAAAAACTTTGGAAAAAAGTCAGAATTTTTTCAAGTCCTTGGAAAAAATGTCACTGGAAATAAAGTCCTGTGATTTGGATTCCTGGGACTTTTTTAATATCAATCTCGAATTTATAGGTCTTTATTTCCGGAGACTTTTTAATAAAAGGACTTTTTTTCTACAGATTTTTTTCAGTGCGAAATATTAGGACTTTTATCCGGAAACTTTTTTTTCAAGAACTTTTTTGGCGGTCACCAATTTTCTAAAGTAAACAACATTATTGGCATTCTTGAAAATTAGAAAATAAATTTATTTCAAATTTCTTGGTTCAGATTTTGAATTATGGAATTTGCTTTATTCAGTTTTAAATCAAGGGTGAACCATAAAAGAAATTATTTACCATAGAGAATAGAATATATATTAGAGGGGAATTTACTAGAAAAAAGTGTAAAACGGCCAATTTGTTGTACTGTTTCAATACTGCATTTTTACTTCACATATTTATGCTATATAACCTTTTGGGCCCTGGAATATCATTTTATAGAAAATCTAAAATTAATGTTAAAAGAAAACCAAATTATGAAATAGGCTGGTTTCATAATTGACCAATGATCATTTCACTTTACGAACGATGATTTTCCGTTATGACTATAAATCAAATGATGTTTTTTATTCACCTAATTCATTATAAAGTTTATTTAACATCCGCCATTCTGTCTCCACGCCCCGCATTTTGGTCTCCGCTTGTTGTTTTTATTTTTTGTTTAAATTTATTGGCTTAACCAAACAAATATCAAAATATATCTCTTCATAGTAGACTCCGTCATAGTTTAAAGAACTGTTTAATCAACAATTTTGACATGTTAATTCATTCAATTGTTCTGGAGTTGTTTTTTTGTAAAAGTTTAGATTAAGATGGAATGAGTAAAAGACGACCTTTATAAACGACTTATCTAATATTTTTGAAGGCATCATGATTTGAAGTTTTTATTAACTTACGATTCCTTAGCATTACATTTTATCATAAAAATGCAAATTAATGAGAATCTGTCCTAAAATATACAAGTTTTTGCGAACCCCCCCCCACCACCTTTGTATTTTGATTTTTTCAGTCAAATAAATGAATTCTCTCGCTAAAAGAAAAACTATTTAGAATTAAATAGATATGACACGAAGCTGCCCTAACCTGTTAGTATAGCATGTAATAGATATTTAGATTATTTTAATTCTTTGTTTCAATTTAAAAAAAAAAGTTCTTCAATATTTTGTAAAGCATACAATAAAATCACTAATACAAGGATTTCACAAAAACTACTTTGTTTTGTAAATTGCCACTGATATTGTTTGATTCGTATATGAGACCCCTCTACAATAACATTTTTCTATCTTTATACAAAACTGCAATAGTGTTGACTTTAAAAGTCACTATAGTAAAATAAAGAAATCTAAAAATCTAAAGAGCAGATTTTAAAATTGGTTGTTATGATATCTCTAGACATGGATGTATCTACTGCAAAAGGTTTCATTCGAGTGACACGACTTTTAACCTGACGGTCTCAATGGAACAGTGTGTATAGTAAAATAAAGAGATCTAAAAATGGATATTTCTAACATTTATTTAAACGAAAGTTTTGAAATATTTGCATTTAAGGCGGAGTTAAAATTGGTTGATTTAGAAATTAACAAAGGAATTAATGATGGATATTTGATGGCACTTCATGGGAGTGTTGTAGAGCTTCATGTTGGTGGAGCAGATCAACAGGAACTGGGACAACAGGGCTTATCAATGGAACTAAGGCAATGCAACTCGAGATAGCGGAAACTTTGGCACAAGTTTCCTAAGTAAGCTTCTCAAGAAGTTAATAGGGAGATCAGAGGTATAAGCACGCCTGCTGTTAGCTCAGTATCTGCATCGTCAGCATGAAGGAGTCAAGAGGCTCCCTGTGTCGGAGCTGTTACCAGCCCAACTCTCCTAACCTGACTGAGCTGGGGTGTGTAGAGGGTGAGGTGGGGAAAGAAGGAGCGAGGGTTACATGTGTGCTTCATGGCGGAAATGGATCTGGTGTATACACGCATCTTGAGAAAAGGCTACGGCATTTGAGTCGGAAAAAATCGTCTTCCTTATATTTCGAATTTGTGTTAACAAATAGTTCTTCACAATTTAAGGAATTTGTGAAATTTAGAAAAAACAAAATACAAGCCTTTAATCTCAATTAAAATTCACTTTTTAATACAAAATGTTAATGTATCATTCTGAACTATTTCATCATGTTGAGAATTTAAAAAAAAAGGTTCTTGGTGGAAATAAAAGCCAAATATTTTTTTATTGGAGCCAAAATGCGGGGCATGGAGAAGAATGGCGGGAGGCTTGGTGACGTCACAGAGGCTGGGAGACCAGTTTTGTGGGGCCTGGAGGTAATTTTGCAAATCCTGAGGCTCGGAGATTATTTTTGCTGGGATCATGGCGCCTCTGCACCCCCTCCCTCCCTTACCTTGGTTTTAAATTAAGAGAAAGACGGAAAGTATAAAACTGTTCTTCTTGTAATACAAGAATACTAGGTTTAGCGCTACTTTACTGCCACTGGCAAATTGTGTACGCTCTTAGCAAAACTCTATTAATATTATGCCAAGTAAATATTTTAACCTTAAGCTAAAAACAAGCGCTTAGCAATTTTTAAATCTACATGTCTAATGCTACAAAATGTATAAGAGAGTTGGTGAGGGAAAACCAAACGTCAAGGGGTTGTGACACATTAAAGTGGAGGCTGTTAACAAATTTGAGGCCTAACTTTCAGAGTTTACTAGATTTCAGTGGGCAACTAAAATACTTAGTTTTTTTTACATGATTTTCTAATTTTTTTTGAATATTTAAACTGAGATGTTTCGTAAGTCACAAGTGTTATTAATAATTTTGAAATGTATTTATTATTGCATGTTAATCATATTGAATTAGAATTTGATAATTTAGCTTTTACGGACGCAGTTGCTGTTGATTTAGCTATTGTAGAAGCAGGAGCTATTGTTTAAGCTGTTGTGGAATCAGGAGCTGCTGTTTGAGCTATTGTTGAAGCAAGAGCTGTTGTTTAAGCTATTGTAGAAGCAGGAGCTATTGTTTAAGCTGTTATTGAATCAGGAGCTGCTGTTTGAGCTATTGTTGAAACAGGAGCTGCTGTTTAAGCTATTGTTGAAGCAGGAGCTGTTGTTGAAACAACGGTAGCAGCAGATGTTGGTTGTCCTGAACAAAACGTCATGTTTAAATTTTTCCTTTACAATTTCAAATCTGCCCTCTCCCCCTCCCCAACGTGAATAGGAAGGCCGGTCATATCATTTCTACATTCGAGCTACATTTTCCGCACTTTCTTGATCAAGCCATCCATTTTTTTTTCAATCTGACCCCATTATCAATGAAATATTAAATTATCCAAACGTAAATTGTCGCAAAATTTTGAATTAACTTAAACTTTCAGGCTTCTTACATGGAATTTTCCCGGTTTGTTCCGAGATAAAAAAGGAGAAGTGGCTCGGATGAAAAATGTGGGAAACTGTTGCTCGGTTGCATAAATTATGCGACTGCCATCCTTCCCTCTGGCCTCACCCAACCCTCCAATAACTGTTTGAAGTTTGGCTCCACCAAGTGCATCAGGGTCTTTAAACTTTTGAAAATTGAGTTTAAAGTTTTACCTCTTTGTAAAGTACACTGTAAAATATATTTTAGAACAAAGTTGTGACAAAGATTTATCAGGAAGTCCCAAAATAATTTGGAATTTTTGAGACAACTTTATCTATAATCTTCAATAGAAATAAAAGAAAAAGGGGATAACGCAAAGACACAAAGTAAATTTTGAGCTCTCCAAAATGTGGTGAATCTCTTTATATTGGAGACAAAAATTCATCATGGTATGATAATTTTTGGGATTAGAGCATGGGTTTCTTATTATGTTCGAGTTGATTGTGATGATAGAAAAACCAACCACTGATTGGTAGACAGTAGGTTTCTGAACCAGTAGCACTCAGGGCGTAGGTCACACTTTCACTGTGTCAAACATTCACGAGAAATATACAGGGTTACCCACAAAGGATAATAAAGTAAAGACGACCTGAAATTCTTAAAATATGACGATACTCAGGATAAATTTAGTATTTGTCTTTAATAACCTCTTTTAATGGCTTAATTAATGATTTTGCAAAGATATAAAACAGTGTACAGTTCCAAGGAATCATGAATATATATATATTCCGTACAGTACCAGGGAATCATGAATATATATATATTCCGTACAATCGTCTCTAAATCTCATTCTCCTATGTGGTTAACCCTGTATAGAAAGTAAAAACGCATCAAAAAACACTGTTTGAAACTCTGATTTTTAATCCCTAGAGGTGTGTACACATCTACGTTGTAGACCTTACACATTTTTGGGTTTGAGTTTGTGGCAAAAACTCAGTTTATTTAAAGAAATGAAAGGGAAAATCCTTCAGTTGGGATGAAATTGAGATTAAAGAGAGAAAAAGAAAAATAATTTTAGAACGTTTTTCAACAAAAAATGTAAAACTGAATGTTTTCCTGAGAGAGGCAATGTCGTAGTTGGATGAAGCAATATCATTAACCCAGTCCGGATACCTAGATATACAATATATTTGTACAAAACTTTTTTGGATTTAAACCCCTAAAGAAGCTGGGTGGGGGGGGGGGGGGGGGGTTGCTCTATTTTTAAGGCCAATTCACATTTGGAACTTTAAAAAAGTATTTTTTTTTGGAAAATGGTGTTTGTGTAGGATGGTTTGAAGGCTTGTCTGTGATTAAAAAAAGTTCTAAATATTGACAAGAATACAAGAATATATAGTTACCTAACAAGGAAGGGTAGTCCTAGATAATTGGCAAGAATACAAGAATATATAGTCACCTAACAAGGAAGGGTAGTTCTAGATATTGACAAGAATACAAGAATATATAGTTACCAAACAAGGAAGGGTAGTTCTAGATATTAACAAGAATATAAGAAAATATTGTTACCTAACAAGGAAGGGTAGTTCTAAATATTGGCAAGAATACAAGAATATATAGTTACCTAACAAGGAAGGGTAGTTCTAGATATTGTCAAGAATACTAGAATATATAGTTACCTAACAAGGAAGGGTAGTTCTAAATATTGGCAAGAATACAAGAATATATAGTTACCTAACAAGGAAGGGTAGTTCTAAATATTGACAAGAATACAAGATTGGATTCCAGCACTTGTTCACAATGTCAACTAAATATGGTAAAAATCAAGTAAAATTACTTTTAGTGATAAATTACAGATTACATATATTAGTTTTTATATTAAAAATTATGGATTAGTTATATCACAGATATTGTATGATATAAAGAAGATCTATATAATCGAATTAGAATTACAGATTACATATTACAAGTTAGAGATTAGAGAATAGAGATTACAGATTACAGATTACAGATCTAAGTTACAATTCACCTGATGTAACGTTATTAACATAGTTATTTGCAGTAGCCGGGTTTACAATATCTGCGTCCCAAACCTATATTTTATATTTGTTAGATATTTTAATGAAAGGGAATTGAGTCTCTGTCACAAACTCTGATTTGCTAATCCCTATATCTTTACAACTCAATTTCGTAGACCTTAGATATTTCATAATATAAATTATGTTGATTAAATAGTCTAATTATAGAATATCAAAACCTTCAAATAACAAAGATGCTGATGTATACCTTAAACTCCAGTATTCCTGATTTATACCTTAAACTCCAGTATTCCTGATTTATACCTTAAACTCCAGTATTCTTGATTTATACCTTAAACTCCAGTATTCCTGATTTATACCTTAAACTACAGTATTCCTGATTTATACCTTAAACTCCAGTATTTCTTATTTATACCTTAAACTCCAGTATTCCTGGTTTATACCTTAAACTCCAGTATTCCTGATTTATACCTTAAACTCCAGTATTTCTTATTTATACCTTAAACTCCAGTATTCCTGGTTTATACCTTAAACTCCAGTATTCCTAATTTATACCTTAAACTCCAGTATTTCTGATTTATACCTTAAACTCCAGTATTCCTGGTTTATACCTTAAACTCCAGTATTCCTGATTTATACCTTAAACTCTGCAGTATTTCTTATTTATACCTTAAACTCCAGTATTCCTGATTTATACCTTAAACTCCAGTATTCTTGATTTATACCTTAAACTCCAGTATTCCTGATTTATACCTTAAACTCCAGTATTCCTGATTTATACCTTAAACTCCAGTATTTCTATTTATACCTTAAACTCCAGTATTCCTGATTTATGACTTAAACTCCAGAATTCCTGATTTATACCTTAAACTCCAGAACCTCTGACTTGAATGTGATGCTTAGTTTCCAGTCTTCCGTGGGGTTTTCAAGCCAGGCCTGGTCCAGGTACAACTTACCTACATAGCCCTAAATCAGAAATAAATTAATTGACAAAAATTGTGAAGAGGTTTATAAAAAATAAATTTTATATAATAACAAACCTTACTCCAGATATGAGTTTTTTGAACATAAATTCCAGCATTGCACTGAGCAGTCACTTTTCCAGCCTTTAGATAAATATTCAGTCTTATTATTTAGGTATATTTATCAATCAACGTATTGACCTATTCATGGTCTATATATCGGTATATTTATCTTTCGAAATATTTATTCTTCTTAACCAGTATATTCATTGATCTGTTTATCAGTCTTTTTATTGATTTCTTTACTGGTCTAATATTCTTCTATTTATCGATCTTTTTATCAATCTATTTAGCGATCTATTTATATTTTCTTTTAATAGGTATCTGGTCATACTAGAAAAATTCTAGATATATAAAACGCTACATAGATAAAACGCTACTTCATAAAATGCTACTTTCATAAAACGCAAGTAAAAGAAAAAACGCCACTCCATCAAAATATCATGATATTAGGTTTGAACTTTAGATTGGATGATAAATTGTATTTTTTATATATAATTACATAAATTTTCGTAACTTGAATGGTCTATAATACCGAACTGTGTTTATATACAGTGTGGATTGAAACAGCTTTTGGGTTTAAGACCGGCGCGTGGAAATCGACGAAATTAATCTTCAACATCATTTCAATACTCAAATATGTCATTTAAGTCTTATTTCGATATATTTATAAGTGTCTATCTGTTTATCTATTCAACTATCTATTCGTATATAACTAACTATTTTCTTATCTAGTATCCATAAAATTATTTTCTAACAAGGATAAAATCAAAACATTAGTATTTTTTCAAAAAATAAGTTACCAAAGAGCAGAAAAAAGCCAAGAGGAGTATATGCGTAATCCCAACCATTATTTAAATAACTGAACTTGGATCTAATCATATTCAGTACGTTAAAATTCATAGCTTAAAACCATAACAAATAAAAAATCTAAAAATACTTATTTTTTTTAATTGAAAAGTTAGGAAAACCGAATAAAAAGACTTAAAAAAGTTAAAAGAAGTAATTTCATCCCTGTTTATACAGGTGCAAAACATATAAACAAAGGTTTAAAAAACAAAGATCTTTTCAAACAAAAGGATTGAAAAGTTTTTAAATCTTTTGTTTCTTTTTCAGCATGTGTTTTCTATGCTGAAACACTTTTTCACAGGAAAAATATTTATTGGATCGATTTTATTTTGTTCAACAGTGCAGTCCCCTGATTTGATCGATTCCCATTTGCTTGAACTATAATTGATTAAAATGGATCAAATTAATAGATGAAAAAAAAAACTAAATTACATGATCACAACAAACATTTAGTCTGTTTTTTTAATATAGCGGATCAAAAATATTTATATTGGGTTTGAAAATCTTTTTTTTCTTTTTTAAAGCCCAAGTTTACTTTTGCAGCTTAGAGCCGCATTAGCGTGGATAAGGAAAAAAAAGTGCGTTTACATTTTTACTATCTGCACGATCAAATTTTTTATTATTCAACCTTCAAGATCCTTCAAGATCCATATGTTATGTAAATATAATGTTTATCTAATAATACGGTGGCCTAACTAGCCCTATTTGCGTGGGGGTGGGGCAAACAAGTTAAACGAGGAGAGGGAATAAAGGCGGGTCTCCACGTTTTGGAAAATATATAAAAAAGTGGTGCTTTAAGGGGTTAGAGTGTCGGAAAACTGAAATATTTCAGGGGTGCTTATTGTTCAATAAAAGTACACCAATTTCTCAAAAAACGTGATATGAAGTTTCTTTGTTCGGCAGTGTGATTGTTATGCCAAGAGTTCAACAGTTTTTTGGGACAGCAGAGAAATTAAGTTTTTTACAGTCCCTGAGCAACATCCTTTTGTCGTAGTCATCTGTGTGTCATTTCTTAAAAAGAGAAAATATCGAGAATTTTTATTCTAGTTAGTTTTGGCCCAAAAAACGTAAACAACCGGTCAAGTTTAAATTTTTGTGCAGGTGGGACCTCACATCGACGGACAAAAAAAGCAAAAAAAAAAATCCAGCAGACCGGGGTTTTACTTATTTCGTGGAATTTCAATAAACAGTTGCATTTCCTGCATCTATCTATAAATATATATATAAATATAATTTCAGTTTCGATTTATCCCAAATTTTGCAAAGGAAAATCGGTAGAAACACGAGTACGATTTTAGCTTGGCTTGAAAAGTTTTACTTGAGGGGCCGGGTTCACTTTATAGAGAAAATCAGTCTCCAGGCAACCCTGGGTTCACTTTTATAGAGAAAATCAGTCTTCAGGCAACCCTGGGTTCAATTTTATAGAGAAAACCAGTCTCAACGCAACCCTGGGTTCACTTTTATAGAGAAAATCAGTCTTCAGGCAACCCTGGGTTCACTTTTATAGAGAAAACCAGTCTAAACGCAACCCTGGGTTCACTTTTATAGAGAAAATCAGTCTTCAGGCAACCCTGGGTTCACTTTTATAGAGAAAATCAGTCTCAATGCAACCCTGGGTTCACTTTTATAGAGAAAATCAGTCTTCAGGCAACCCTGGGTTCACTTTTATAGAGAAAATCATTCTCAACGCAACCCTGGGTTAACTTTTATAGAGAAAATCAGTCTGAAGGCAACCCTGGGTTCCCAAGCTAGTATATATTTAAAGTACTAAGATTTGAGTAGAATGCATCGTATAGTCCAATCTATCCAGTCTTTACATGACAGTTTCCAATTTTGAAGTTCAAAGGTTTGAATTAATCATAAGGTTATATATGTACATATATGAGAGGGATGAGTTGGTAGATTTTTAAACAAAAAATCACCAAACCTCTCGTATTGGCATTTCAATACCAATCACCATACACTGGTATCAGCGGCGTAAGGAACCGAGGGCGGGGGGGGGGGGTGCAAAGGGGATGTTAAACGTTCGATAGAGAGATACATTTAAGTTAAACTCCTTTACTTTAACTTAGATATAGGTTTGAATGTTACCGTTGTTAATCGTTGATGTACACTATGAATAGAGATTTGCTTTCAATTTCGGGATCATTCCCTTTCGAACTCAATCAAACTGACTTTTTGTACAATGTAATAAATATTTATGGAACACCGTGTGGAGCTGTACCAAAGCTTTAAGAAAAAGAGTTTCATGGAATTATTATTACTAAAAACCATAAACTATACAATATTTTGACACTAAACAAAAACAGTTTTATGTCTTTTTTCCAGATAATTCTATGAAATTATTACGCGGTGTGGAATACTTGGTCTTATTTTGTATAAATCTGTTTTTTTGCTTTTGTAAATATTTTTGTAAATACAACATAAATATAAATATATATATTATTACATATATATTTATATATATATATCCATTTATCTAATATTTTACATTTTATAAACATAGTTTAGATATCTATCTTAATCCCCCGGGTTGATTAATTACTATAATTAGTCATTAATTACAATGATTAGATGAGACTCCAGCTAATCTGTACTAAGCATCCTATTTGTATAATTTGCCTCTCTCTCTCTCTTTCTCTCTCCTATCCTATACAATTAACTATCTACCTTTCTCNATCTATCTATCTATCTATCTATCTATCTATCTATCTATCTATCTATCTATCTATCTATCTATCTATCTATCTATCTATCTATCTATCTATCTATCTATCTATCTATCTATCTATCTATCTATCTATCTATCTATCTATCTATCTATCTATCTATCTATCTATCTATCTATCTATCTATCTATCTATCTATCTATCTATCTATCTATCTATCTATCTATCTATCTATCTATCTATCTATCTATCTATCTATCTATCTATCTATCTATCTATCTATCTATCTATCTATCTATCTATCTATCTATTCTTTAAAAGTTTCACTGTGAGACGAAATTTCAATTAAAAGTTTGGTCTACAGAATCCCTAATGAGTTTGTATTCTAGAAGTAGAAAGTAGAAAAATAACAATTTCAATTTTCTCTGTTCTCTCAAGCGGAGAACTGCATTGACCAGGTTCATTAGAATATTCTTTAAATGGTATATACTAGAAGTTGTTATCCTGTACAAAACATTTTATCCTAGGTACTGTATACGCACATATACAATCGGTTCAACATGCAATATATTCAAGTGCTAATGTAATTTCAAGTTTTACACCCTTCATTTCAAGTTCCCTTCATTTCAAGTACCCTTCATTTCAAATACCCTTCATTTCAAGTACCCTTCATTTCAAGTTCCCTTCATTTCATGTACCTTTCATTTCAAGTACCCTTCATTTCAAGTACTCTTCATTTCAAGTACCCTTCATTTCAAGTACCCTTCATTTCAAGTCCCTTCATTTCATGTACCTTTCACTTCAAGTACCCTTCATTTCAAGTACCCTTCATTTCAAGTACCCTTCATTTCATTTACCCTTCATTTCAAGTTCCCTTCATTTCATGTACCTTTCATTTCAAGTTCCCTTCATTTCAAGTTCCCTTCATTTCAAGTTCCCTTCATTTCAAGTACCCTTCATTTCATGTACCTTTCATTTCAAGTTCCCTTCATTTCAAGTTCCCTTCATTTCATGTACCTTTCATTTCAAGTTCCCGTCATTTCAAGTTCCCTTCATTTTAAGTTCCCTTCATTTCAAGTACCCTTCATTTCAAGTACCTTTCATTTCAAGTACCTTTCATTTCAAGTACCCTTCATTTCAAGTACCTTTCATTTCAAGTACCCTTCATTTCAAGTACCTTTCATTTCAAGTACCCTTCATTTCAAGTACCCTTCATTTCAAGTACCCTTCATTTCAAGTACCCTTCATTTCAAGTACCCTTCATTTTAGAATTACATTTCCGATTTATCGTGTACCCTTTAAACCTTTAAAGTGTGTGTTCAGCTCCATTTATAAAATAAAACCTGGACACTTAATTATTAACTATTTAAAATATTTGGTTCGCAGTGCAACATATCTGTTAATTTTATAATGTTTGTGTGCACTTGTCTTGCAGACACACTGTGATTTTTCCTTTTTTGACAGAGCATAAAAATAGAAATTCAAATTTTTACTTCATAAAATTGATGAAAAAATGTTGGAAATATTAGATTTTTTTTGAGAAAATCCAGAAATCGATTCAACTGAGAGATGATGAAATGTAATTTCCTCTTCTCGATCTACAATGTATCTTTATATATAAAGTTGTAATCTCTGTACGTTTGTCTCGTCTGCTTGTTTGTCCGATCATCTTGGGAACGCTTGGGCCGATTTGCATAAAGTTTTGATGTGGGAACTCGTTCTGAAGCTATAGTGATGTATTCCTAGAGATACCCAGAAAGATAGATGGATGGATATATGTAAAATATATATAGATGAAAGATATATAGATAGATATTTAGATAGATATAAGATATATAGATAGATAGATATCTATATAGATAGATAAATAGATATATAGATAGATAAATAGATATAAAGATAGATAGATTTATATAGATAGATAAATTGATAGATAGATAGATAGATAGATAAATATATAGATAGATATCTATATAGATAGATAAATTGATAGATAGATAGATAAAATAGAAATATTCGGAAAGAAAGAATAAACTTATTTGAAGTCTTGAGACGTCTTGACTTCTATTTGGAAGAAATGGTGAAAATTGGTTCTCTTGAGTGCCATAAATATAGTTCTATCAAAACATTAAGCAAATCCCTTTTTTACTGGATTTATTAAATCTATTTCTCCACAGAGTTTTCTCTACATTTATATATTAAAACTATTGTTAAAAAATAAATAATATTTTTTTAGACACTCGGTTAAAAGCCAAGGCTGTCTCAACTCTAGTGTCAGACATATTGTGAAACTTTGTCAATCTTATTCCAAACAATCTTCCGCGGGTTGAGAAACAAATCTAGAGATTCCCCTGCTGATACCGAC